GCAAATATTATTATTATTATGGCACCTTATTGCGTTATATAGAGGCGTCTCAAAGCAGCTCACAGAATATACTGCAAAGTAATGTGACTGGGTCTATAATATGATGCATTTTACATTCTTATAGCACAATTAATCTCAAAGCATTTAACGCTGCTAGCTTGGCATCTGAGATTGGATGGTTGGAAGGAAGAGGCCTAGGTCACCATAGAAAATTACAACATGGAAGAAAGTCATTTAGCCCATCGTATCTTTGCTGGCTCTTTGAAAGAACAATCCATTCGGTCCTGTTTTTACCTTCCTTTTTCCCCCATCCCCTGCAATTTACTCCTTTTTCGATATTTATCTAGTTCCTTTTTGAAAGTTTATACAGACCCTGTCTCGATCACCACAACAGACACAGCATTCCATATCTGAACAGGGCTCTGTGTGTCTGTGTTTTTTAATCCTCCCAATCTTCCTCCTTTGCTCCCCTGTTAATTATCTTCAATAGATGCCTTAAACTGGTATGCAAAAGAGTTGAGGAAATAACTTATTTTTTCCAAAAAAATTGCTAACAAAGGAATCCGTCAAAGATGTTGACCTGAGCTATGGAGACGCTGGCTTCACTGTAAATGCTCCCCCACCCCCACCCTCCACCGGTTTGCCCACAACAGGAATTGTCTCTTTGTTTCTTTACCTGTCATAACCGGACCCGTGTTTCCATGAAATTATTTAATCAGGATGTGCTGTTGGGTAACAGGATGTTGTCCTGATTGCAGCTTGGCAGATGGTTTAATTACGATTCAATGATTGCTGTAAGCGTTGTTTGTTTGTTTGTATGGAAAAGGAATTTTGATGCTTTTTTGCTGTGCTTCAGACAATAGCAACCAACATTTTCCAGCAATGTTGCAGAAGGATGTGCGGCTTTGTTCAGCTGATTAAAAGAAAATGGTAACAGTCCTGTTCGGCTCACTGTAAGCATCCTGTTTTTTATTTTGGTCCCAACAGTAAATGGATGATCAAAGGAAGATTCTGGCATAATTGATAGTAATAATTAATAATAATACCAATCTATTACTCTCCGTTATTATGAAAATAAAACCTTCAAGAGAAATCTTGATCCAAAATGCCGATATGTCATCGAGTACCAGAATCTGTAGACCACATATTCTCATCGTGTCCAGTTTTAGCAGAATCAGGGTATCTGATTCAACGTAACAATGTGGCTAAATGTATTCACTGGACAATTTGTAAACACTTTGATATTGAGCTGAAAAACAACTGGTATGAACATCAAAATAGTGACATGGAAAAATAGCATCACAATAATTTGGGTCTCACAAGTATATCCAGATAGATCAGCAATCTGTAACAAAGCAGATATTATCATAAAGAACCAAATAGACTGTACCTGTAGTATTATTGATGTGGCTATCCAAATGATTACAATGTGAGAAATAAGGAACTAGAGAAGATCAGGAAATGCATCGATCTACAAATTGCATGTGGAAGTATGTGGCAGTACAAACAAACATAGTTCCTGAGATCATTGGTGCAACCGGGACTGTTAATAAGACTATTCAGAAATACCTGGTGAACAAAATATCAAACCCCTGCACAAAGTTCAGATATACTTAAAAAAAAGTCAATTTATGTGTAAAGTGGAGTGTTATTGGTCTGGCTGACCCATCACTGAAAACCATTTAGAAATTACCTCTACAGAGTGATTTAAAACTGTGATAACAATAAGAATAAATCCTTGCATTTGATACAGCGCCTTTCATGTCAGGAAGATGTCCTTAAGAGCTTTGCAAGTTTTACTATAGTTGAACGAGTGTGTTTCTTATAGACAAATGTGGCAGCCAATTTGCACACAGCAATGTCCCATAAACAGCCCTGCAGCGATTGACCAATTGTGGTGAATTTGCATGTGCAATGACAAATTTTCTTCACTGTATTTGTGACAGCCTGCTTCCAGACAATGCTCATTTCCATCTATCAATCAATGCGATAATGCTGAACAGATGCACCTTATCCTTTTTGAAGATGCTGACAATGCTTCATACAGGTGATCAACTATAGACTGAAAGGAAATAAAGTTGTGAGTAACTTCTCTTGTTGGCAAGAGCTGAAAGCTGGTTTGAATTGCAGAAGCACGTCGAGATGTTATCCTACTTGAAGGGCATGATATAAATGCAGGTTGTTCTTCTTGTTTGAAAAGAAATGCATCGCATAGCATAGCATAGCATGCACTGTCAATCTGTATAATTTGCTTTTTGCTTTCAATCAATACTGGGAAATTCCTCAGATGAATGGTGAGCACAAATAATTTGTCAAGTGATGAATGGGTTGTTATCCTTGTCTTAGATTGCCGATAATAACCCTTGCATTTGTTGTACAGCACCTTTCATGTCAGGAGGACATACCAAAACACTTCACAGGATTTACTCCTGAGCAATCCTTCCTAAAAGATTTTGATTTGATTTTTAAAAATTGTCATTTTTTAGATATTTTGAATTTAGTCATCTGGGACTGAATTTTCTCAAATCCATTTTAATATCTGAAGATTTTTCTTGCTAAGGACTAAGGCAAATGTATCATTCATATATTAGATGAGGTATGTCTCTTCAGTCTTGGGAGAAGATGTCTCAGGAGATATGTATAAAATTTTAAGTGGATTGAAAACGTGATCCCAGAACAATACTTTAGGATGCACCAAGATAGAAGAACCAGTGGACAAAGATTTAGAGTTGCACAGAACAATTTCAAGACAGAACCGATGAGGTTTTTCTTTACCCAGAGAGTAATTAACAAATGGAAACAGGATTGCCAGGAAGGGTGGCCAAGCCAAGGACACTGAACTCATGAAATCCCATGATGGGAAGGAAGTTCAGTGGGTATCGTGGAAGGATGAGATCAAATGGGCTGAATAACCTTCATTCAAACCAATCTTATGATCATAGTTCTCGTGTACATGTCTGATGAATCTTCTGGTGGTCGTTATGTCACCACTTGTTCTCTGGTTGAACCAGCATGTGTGTTTCAATCCCACCGCATTCCACTTCGAATCCCCGTGGTATATTTCAATAGGGTGAGGGTCTGCGCACAATTCCCTCGGGAAGGAAGCAATTTTATATTTCTGATCACAGCTGTTAAAACAGGTTTCTGACGACTTGCACACGTCACTGTAAACTTCCTCTGCTTTTTATTTGTACACAACTGGGTCTAAAATAGCCCTCCTGACCTCCATGGGGTGTAATCAACACATCACCAGCGTGCAAGTTTCCATCAAATTCTGTGATTGAATGAGTCTTAGCATATGAGAGAACAATGCATTCCTTTCTGCAGCTGCTAAAGAAGCCGTACAATTAGCGCTGATGCTATTTTAAACTTTCTCAGCGTTGCAAAGGAATTGAGTTGTTCTGCTGTGTGTGTGTGTGTCTCTCTCTCTCCCTGACTGATGAGGTTAAGAATTAGTGATCTTGAGACTGTCGCAATAACTTTCTTTCAAAGGTATCTCAGGTACCAGGACTATAAAATCGACATACTGTAAAAGATATATACAAACGGACTAAGAACAGATCAGTGGAAATATTAGCTCTCGGTCAGTGCCAATGTCAAAGCCAACAGACCTATAATGATGTAATTGTGCCAATTTCAAATGTATCTTTACCAGATCTATGTTGATACGAGTATTAGGAGACCTCTACCACATTGATATTGTAGCACACTTGGACTTCACGTGTAATTCATCACCACAGTGGATATTGAGGCTGGATCAACAGAATCATTCAAATGGGAACTGGATAGGCAGCTGGATTGGCACAGGAGATGGGGCAAAGGGAAACAGCTAGAAAATGGGATAAGTAGAATCAGAGTCCTTTGTGAGTTTCAAGAGGGAAGTAGACCAGCACATGAACTTTTAAAGGCTTTAAGCGGTATGGGGGGCTAAGACAGTAATATTGTTGACTGGACAGTTTGCTCTGAGAGGCGGTGCAGACTGGAAAGGCTGAACGGCTGCCTTCTGTGCTATAAGTTTCTATGATTCTATTCCACAATTAAAAAAAGTGTCTTAAAGAAAGCAAAGAAAGTATTGGCACAGACACATAGGTCCTTCTGTGATGAAAATATCTATGCTGATAATCCTTGCCATTTGATATTTCTACATTGCCAGCAGCAGGAAGGTGGGGATCCATGAAATTATTGTAATTCCCGTTGGCAGGGTGAGAGTAAAAGTTACCTTTTATTTAAGCTCAGTGTTTTATGACTGTTGAGTTAACCATATGGAAGTTTGATCGTCAGTGCCATTTGCAAGGTGTATGCAACCTCAGTTGAGTTTCTTAACCTGCTGGTAGGACTCAGAAGAAAGTCAATGTACCTGAAACTTGAAATTTAAAGGAGAATATATACCTTTAAACAACCTCAGTCTTTATTTTTTTTGAATTACAAGAGTTATCATTACTTTTTAAAGTCCATTCATGTATTTTAGTCTTTCTGTTCATTTCCTTGTGTTTCATTAGTGAGCACTAATGGTTAAAAATTGGCTTAGAGGAGCTATTGAGCTCGACAGTGGGGAGAGTACTGAATTGGTCTCAGCAGAGATTCTGTCAGAAACCAGGCACTGCTCCTGTTTTGACTGTATCATTAATTCAGCAGCAGCTCAAGAGGATAAATGAGCAGAGATTAACTGAATAACAGCTACTACTGAATACCGGTTATATATCTGGAATCCCTCGAAATTCATCTGCTCCCTCCATTCGTTCAAGGCACATCTCAAAACGTACCTCTTTGACAGAGTTTTCAGTCTTCTTTCCACCCACAGCTCAGATGCCCATCCGGTATTGTGAATCACTTTGAGACGTCCTCCCGATGAACAAAGCATTATTAGAATTGTCGTGTGTGTGTGAGTGAGGCTGTGTCAGATAAAAAAGTCTATAAGTTTCCATCGTGAGTGAAATGCCTATAAATACATAGTCACTACACTTTAGCATTAAAATGCTGTGGGCTGTTGCACTGTTTCAATGACATGATGGAGAGCTGTATTAAATGTAAAAAAAATCTTTATTTATTAATTGGAAAAGGGTGAGGTGGGCTTATCGAATAGCAGTGAGATGGTGAAAGCAGATTCAGCTGAGTTTGGAGGCAATAAGATCAGTTGCTGCAAAAAAGAACAAGAAGACTTCAAACAAATAAGAGGCAGAAAACCGAGGCTGCAGAAATCCGTATATTTGTGGATGTTTATATAGCTTACCACGTGAGATCGGTTAGAAATGACAAGTAATTTGGAAATAAAATCCAGATCTTGTCTGTCATTCTGTACTGTCTGCGTTTTAAAGCGCACAGAGTCTTTCATCTTCTTCTTCGATGAAGCCCCTAATAACAAAATAAAAAAGAACAGTTCTTCCATTGCAAAGTGCAGAGAGGCAATGTACAGATCCTGTGTCATCTTGGCAGAGCAGCTAAAATACACTTAGGAACACTGTGTAACTCGCATCTTAATGGGGAATGGAAGCCAAATATAAGCATATTTTGGCAGTTTAAATAGCGCAGTGATCGTGAGTACATCTCTAAATATCTAAGTTGTTACATTTGGTACAGCGCCTTTCATGTCGGGAGGACGTCCCACAGTGCTTCACAAGGTATACTGTAAAGTGTAGTGACTGTGTTTGTGAGTGAACCCGACAGTCAACTTGCACACAGCAATATCCAACGAATGGTCATGAAGTGAATGAGCAATTTTATTTGGGATATTGTTGACCAGGACATCAGAAGAGAGAAACTCCCTTCTCTTTTCACATCAACGTATTCAAGAGGAGACTTAATGGATATGTTGAATAGAACAGGAGAATGAAATAAAGGGATATGGAAGAGAGGACTAGGAGGGATGGAGACATGTGGGTCGTATAAACACTGGCATGTATTAAATAGGCAGAATGGGCATTTTCTGTGTTGTAACCTTCTTTGAAAGCATATGTTTAATATTTATGGAGCTCATTCTTGAGAAAGAATTTGCTGGCACATCATGAGAAGACTATCACCAATGTCACAATATCGCATCCCTATAAGCCAGGTTTGAACTTCCTTAACGAAAAACTGAATGAGTTTCTTGAGAAATATAATGGTGGATTCCATGCTTTCTTACGTTCATTCGTTCTTAGAATTGGCGGTCGTGATTCAGAAGAGGTCTATATTTATTTACTGCCGTTTCATTTTCATATTAACGAGTGTTCTGCCCTGCTTTCCAAGCAGCTCCCAGAACATTCATTACTTTTTCTGGAACGGTGCAGTAGTTAAGTGAAAGCAAAGTTCTACTGCCGGCAAATGTGAGCCACTCATAAAGGGATCTGGGAAATCCTGAAGTAAATCCACTGAAAGTAAATTACATTACTTGGCACCATGAAGATCTAGAGTTATGTACTGCTCTCCACAGGAAATCCTGGGATGAATTCATAGAAAACCAATGACACTGCAATATCCGTCGTGTTCAACTGCATTTATTATTTAACCTGTAGTCGGGAACACTGAGGTTCTAAGAAGACACCTTACTAGAGTTTATTGCCTGCCAAATGGACCATTCTGTTTGCACCAACTGCGATCAATTAAGGATTTGTGTTACTTAATGTTCAACAGGAAATCCTGTAGGTCAGCTTTGCATTGGCCAGAGAAATTCTTTGTATTTCATTACATTCATCAAACAACTCAACCTGAATACGCCCTAGGCTGAATCGCTTGCTTGCTGTTCCAGCTGAATAATTTTACTGGCTCACTTGGGCTGCAGTTGTATCCTTTTAACACTGTTGACTTGAGGGAGCTAATTCCACCCACATCTGAATCAATTTCAGTGTGTTCCTGGCAAGCTAAATGTGGTTTCAGTTGTTTAAGGTACTTTATTGAAATGACGGATTCAACTAACCAGCATTAGGATTAGGCATAGGGTCGGGAACCTAAAGACATAGGAGCCAGGCACTCCTTGATATGTTATTGCACCATTTAAGCATGTTTTCAACACACTGTCTATTCCCTTAAGTTAACCAGTGGGGAGAAGAAAATCAGATGTGAAGTTCACTAACAACCTCTTTCATGTTAAGCAAACATTCACCATTAATCAAGGTTGTACTCCTGATTAACATAAAGCCAATATCCACAATTCCCATCTGCAGATTCTGTTTGTAGCACCTGTAACACATTTCAGCATCTAAGCCCATTTGGAGGAAACAATCAGGATTTTTTGTGTTGATCTATAGTTTGGGATCTTTGTAAAGTGTGAAGTTAAATTCAAGGCTCGAGTTTGCATTGGACTGCCAAGAGTGTCTATTGTTACTCTGATGCTACTATTCCTCAAGGGATTGACCACAGATTTATCAGCTAATCCCCAGGGAGCAAACATACTCATACCATTCTGCTGCCTCTCCACGATATAATATGAACTGTCAGGAGACCATTAGTAGTCCAGCATCTCTAACAAGAAAGTGGGAGCACCTAGATTTGATTCTCGGGCAGGGCAACAGGTTTCCTTAGTCCACAAGCCTCTGTTTATCTAGCAGTAAGTAGGAACCCATTGTTAATCAATTGGCGGATAATAATCTGGGGGTAATAATTCCTACAAAATGTACTCCATTGGTCATTCAATTCCAAGACTGTTTGTGGGACACCGCTGTGTGCAATTGGCTACCATGTTTCACCCAAAACATACACTTTACAATATATTCTATGAAGTGCTTTGAGGTGTCTCAAGGACGTGATGAGGCGCTATATCCAATGCAAGGATTATTATTCAATTAGAACAGGGTTGCAGTAATCTCTTGGAGAATTCAAACACCTTGAGAGCATAGAATCCACCATACAATCACAGTCCAATTGGCTTCAACTTGAAGTGCTTCAAATTGGGACCATCTCGACCTTCCCTCGTAGATCTTTAAATATTGTGAATTCGATCCCTCCGCTGCCCATCTGAGAGTTCTTTGAAAATTATCTCCCAAAAGGTTTAGATGACTTTTATCCCCCCCAAAATCCTTAGTTTTATGGAAACGAACAGTAAAATCAGCAAAGGGCGATTTCATTTTCCCTGCTCAAGAAACATGCTTTGTTTAACACATTTTTCCGTGAATATTGGAGGTGTGAAGTGGGTTCTCTTACCTGTAAGATGCTATTTCAATGTCAAGGGCCATTTTAGCATTCAGCAGCTCCTCATACTCGGCTAGGTGTATCTTCATATCCTGTTTAAGCGTATGCAGTTTCTTTTCCAGTTCACTCATCTGTTCCTAAAATAGTGCAACAAGTGTAGGGAGAGATTCGGTTTTGGAGATTGTCCATGAATAATAAATGAAAAGCCCGGTTGCTACACATTTTTTATTATGTATCTCATTTGCCACATTATCCAACATCGGGGGCTGCTTGAATAAGCATTGCTGACTGACAGTCTGATAAAACAGAAATTTGCGTTCGGTTACAGGGAAATGATCAACTTGAAATTCTGCCACGTTTCTGCCTTGTGTTTTCAATGAATCATTCAAAATCCCTTTAATCCACAGAAGGTGCTACAGTATAGTCTCTGCCTGGCTGAGTTGAGAGATCAGAAAATTGTCTGCATACTTCAACCTTCAGTCTGACTGCAGCTGAACTTTGGATGAATGTTTGTTACAAATATGTCCTTCAGGAATTAAGCATCTGCGCAAAGCATTAAGGACCCGACATTCCTGTGGTTGCTAATTTTAGGGACAATGTAGTTGTGTTGTAAACAGGGGCGCCATGGGGGGAGATACTTGAAGTTCACTCAAATGAACAATCCTCCTATGTTCCGTGTTTCTCTCAGCATTCCTAATCCTCAGAAATTGGAGTTAAAAAATCTTTAGGAGAAAAGTCTAAATGGGCTTCTTAAAAGCTGTTGAGAAACACTCTCAGCAATGCACAGCAGAGAAGATTCATTGAAAGAGAGGTGCTTTTATACACTGCTTTGCAAAAAAAAACACAAACTGAGTTTGGGATTCTAAACTTTGTCTTTCTATGGAGTGTTTCCTTAATCTGAGAATCTTTCTTACCTCATTGTATGCAATTTCTTCTTCATATGACTCTTCTCTTTCTTCCACCTCGGTGCTGAGTTCAGCATTTCTCACCCTGAGATCCTCCAGTTGGTTTTCCAGTTCAGTGATCTACCCACACAGTCAACAAACCCATTACACAGTCTGCAGCCCTGGTTAGATCCAATTCATAAGGACATAAAAGGCTACAAGATTTAAACCGCTCTCTACATTTTTTTATCCCAAAATAAATCATGCCCGTTTAATGGTAGGGAGAGATCCAAGCAGTTACTTTTTAATGTCATTTATTCTGCTGTGTCTTGAAAACTATTTTTTAAAAATCTCTTTTATAATACATCGGAACTACAGCCCTTAAAAAGTTTTTTTTGTTTGGTGGGGAGCGGGTGGGGAAGAGGGTAAGAAATTAGCACATCACCAGTCTGAATTTTGACCCCATTGTTTCTTTCACAGAACTGTGCTCCTCAGTCTTCTTCACACACCATGATACCATTTCCCCATTTATCCCAATGTACACAGAACTGTTCCTAACCCTGCTTTACACAGTGTTATTTCTTAGACGTCTTGTCTCTTGTGTAAGGAAATGTTCCTCAACCACTTCTCATTCCATTGCCACCTCCCAATTCCATACTACAAGATATTGCTCAAAAGGGAGCAATGCAGCAACTGAGGCAAGAGACAAATACAAGCGGAATTTCTCCTGTTAGGATTTAACACTTGTCGTTACTGTACCTCTTTGCTGTAATCTTCAGTTTTACCAATCGTATCTACAGTTGTCGCCTGTCTGGGCACCGAGTCAAACTGGTCAGATGTCCGTCCGTCAAACTGCAATCAGGAGTTGATAACAATGTTGTATTTTTTTTTAAAAAGACAATTGTGACAAATTATTCCGCATGAATGTTAGACATGCAGTACAAGTATCCTCTATTCCAGGACATCTGCAGTGAAGCCTTGTTAGAGCATTGTTATCACGCTCCGAGATGCCGTAGGGCATGAAGCGCGCTCGATAAATGCAAGTTGTTGTTGTTAAAAGGCGGCTGTTGTGGTCCATAAATTCCTTTGTAATGAGGCCTCGGTAACCAGTTTCACTGAGCGTGCAATCACTTCCTGTATGATGAGTGAACCAGAAAGTGACTTTGGTAGCAACCTGATGACTTGGAATCTTGTGGCCATTTTAGAGTGAGAGTGGGTTGGCTGTACGTGTGTGGCTGTGAATGAAGTCCATGCTATAACCTCCCATCACTGTACCAGGCTTTTTTTTTAAAAAAATTGAGTCCAGTGGCCTGGCCTCTGGCCTCAACCATTCTTCCTGATGTCCTTTTCCAGTCATCAATTGCCCTTGGTAAAGAACTACTTCCTGGTGTCTGTCCTGAAATTACCTTTTGCAACTCTAAGCCTGCAACCTTTTGTTTGTCTGTCTCTGTGAATCCCAAAAGTATTAGCAGGTTGATAGGTGGGGGAACAAATCAACCTCGACACCTAATTGATCCAGGAAACCTATTAAGCTCTACTATCTACAAATGTCCTTTGTCTTTGAGACATGAATTTTGCAACGAAAAAGTGGTGTTATTGGAACGTGGGGTGGGTAACTCTGGGTGGTTGAGTAGGTAACAAGTGTGAGATCTGTTCACAGAACGCTTCAGATGTGCCAGCGTGTGATGAGAATAGATTGATAGTTATTATTCCACTTAAAAACTGATTTAAAATTAATCAGTGGTTATCTGTTACTGGCATGGGACTTTGCATCGAGTGTGAAGGCCCTTCAAACACCAAACAAAGAATAAACACTTGATGTACTCAGTTTGTTGTTTGAAGTATGATTCTCATAAAAAAAGACTATCTGCGACTCCAATCATCTCGAAATGAGTATCAACCTACTAAAATGCTGTTATAGTATGAATTGATCAATAATTCACTCTGCTCATTTACTCGGTTATCATTCAACTTGTGTGGTATCACAGTCTGCAAATTAAACCAGTTAATAATTGGCATTTATTATAATATAGCGTACGGTTAAAATAAATAATTCAGTTATAAAATATCTTCTGAACTGATGATGGTCCCCAAGAGTGAATGGTAAGTAGTTCTGTACATTCTGACTACATTGTACCATAGAAAGAATACAGTTAATATCTCTCTATCAATTGAGCACATTGCATAATAGGGAAAGTGAATATTTAGGTGTTGTGATTCTACTAAATAACAATAATAATCCTTGCATTTGATATAGCTCCTTTCACGTTGAGAAGATGTTTCATGGTACTTTACACAATTCATTGGAAATTGAAGTTATTGTGTATTTTTTGTAGGTGAATGCTGCAGCCAATGTGCACACAGCAATACCCACAACCAGACATGAAATGAATGATCATTTTTTTATCGAGGGGATGATTGGCCGGGACACCGAGGGAACCTCCCTTCTCTTCTTGAATATTCCCACCGGATCTTTAACGCCCACCTGAACAGGCAGGCAGAACCTTGGTTTGACGTCTCATGCAAAGAAAGACACTTTAAATAATGCAGTGCAACCCCCAGCACTGCATGGTAGTGTCAGTCTAAACTGAGTTCAAAGACGCTACCTGAAAGGCTTGAACAACAATCTTCTGACTCAGAAGTGAGTGCTCGCTACTGAAACAGGCTATAATACACTTAGAATAAAATCAGTTCTTCAAACTTTCTTTTACGTCCAAAGTCCATGTTATGTAAATGGATTCTGTAGGGTATATCAGTGTTGCAAATGGTGCTGTATGTCTAGATTTGGTTAATTAATTTACAGTTACATTAATGGCAGTGGCATTAATCTAACCAGGGAGTCACAGAGAGTGCAGGTCTCCAGGCGATTGGGCTGCAGGCGCAGTCCAACTCGATTTCAGTGAGTGAAGCTCGGTGTAAATAACATTAAATTAATCCGACAAACTCCTCCATTAAAACATTTCTAGTACCCTGCAGGATTGGCAGCTTAATATTCACTTAACACCCATCGGCAGCCAAGTCAACAGCAACCTCCCACTTGGAGCTCTGAGCTCTTTCCAATCCGTGAATACACAATCGCTGGAAATTTAACATAAAATCATATTGATGGGCTCCTTGTCATAATCGCTTACAAAATAGGCAGTATTTCTGGTGGATCATTATCCAGCGCACTGGACAATAATCCTCCCGGCTCGGAGTCAGGCTCCGCCACTGTTAAGCACTCTGAGACGCTACCCTGCATGAAGGGCGCTTTATAAGTTCAAGTTTTTGTTGTTGTTGTGGGAGAGACTCCCTTCTCTTCTCGAGTAGTCTCTTCTCCCCGGGATCTTTAACTCACGCCTGAACAGGCAGATGAGATCTCAGTTTAACATCTCATTCAAAGGACAGCACCTCTGCTAATGCAGCGCACCCCCAGCACTAGGGAACTTAGTTTATCTCCCGACGTGAAAGGTGCTATATTAAAAGCACGGATTATTATCATTGATGTCTCATTTTTCCCTTTACTAGTCTCGCAGTGCTGGCTCTGGGAGATGAGTGTCAACAATTAAGAAGGCTAACATATCAAAAGTCCGTTGTCTTTTCAATCTCAGTCTGCATCCAACAAAGACCTCATTAAGAAGCCATTCGTTGCTTCGCCTGATTATTGCCTTAAATTCAGATAGCAGAGAGGAGCCTTGTGTTCAAGGGAACAATCTAACATTGTTAACGGACAACGGGTAAATCACTTTCTTTGCACCTCATAAGACCTGTTCGGATGAAGGAGGCCTTTCGGCCCATCTGATCTTGTCTCTCGAGAGCAGCCACCCTACTATACTCCCATCCCAGTGTCTTGGCTTCAACCATCTTTTCTGGTAACAATCCTTTGTTCTATTCGTTAATTCCCCTCGAGGTAAAGAGAAACTTCCTGGTATCTGTCCTGAAATTGCCATGTGCACTAATTTACGTCGATCAATACAAATATCAATCATTTCTCTGCTACTTTTATCCCAAATCCCTGAAAATCTTTTGGGTAATTTCTGTCCAAAATATTCCTCCAGCTATGTTGGAAAATGATCTACTTATTAAAAATGATGTTGTAATTATTGATATACATATCTGTACAGACATATAGAAAAACGCTGCGTTTCACAGATCAACCAATCTGCACCGAGACTCTCCAGTTGACTGACAGCTCGTGGTCACACGCGCCCAAAGTGGTTCCATTCACTCGAATGTGAGTGGGCGCCTTTGCAACTGGAGCCATCTGTGCCCGGAAGCGCACTGTGCCAGCCGAGCGTGGCTAGACTCGCTGAGTGCAACGCGCCCTCTGTGACTGAAGGCTGGTGCCGCGCAGTGCAGCTGGCGACGTCCTTCCCTTCGTCCAACGCGTCACATTATCTTCGTTTTCGAAAACTTCAAATGATCCTTCTTTACTTTTCTCTCTCTCTCTCTCTTTCTCTCTCTCTCTCTCTCTCTCTCTCTCTCTCTCTCTCTCTCTCCCTCGCTCTCTCTGGTTTCTAAGCAGCGCAGTTCTGGTCTGCTGCTCTGCTTCCCTTGCGCAGGGTGGAGTGCTGCAATGTAGTGCCGCGGCGGTTGCCATGGCGACGTGTCCTCGAGGAGGCTGAGAGATAGCGTGAGAGGTGAGTTTTTTTTTTTTTACTGGTTGTCCCCAACGCGTAGCTCCACCGTGTTTCGCTTCTCGGGGCTAACGCCGCAGAAAGCTCAGCGGCAGGCATCCGAGTTTCCATGGTGACAGCTGGTGCCCACTGTGAACAAGCAATACCCTCCTAACCGGGAAAGGGCTCGTCTCCGGTGAACTGAACTCCATACCCCACATTCCTGCAACAACAGGTCACACAGCCTGACTCACACTCGCTAGCGCTCTCGCACGCCTCCCCAGATCTCTCCCTCCACCCCCCACGCCCCCGAGTCAGTATGTTCTAGGTTTAAGCCCCATGTTGGGATTTGGAACTCACACAATCTACGCTGACACTCCAGTCCAGAACTGGGGGTGTTGCTGAATTGAAGGAGATGTCACCTTTCAGATGTCTGAGACGTTAAACCGAGATCCCGTCTGCCTGTTTGGGTGGATGTTAAAGATCCCATGGCACTACTCGAAAGAGATGGGAGTTTTTCCCGGTGTCCTGGCCAACAATCTCTCAAATAAAAAATGGTCCATGCTCATTCCATGGCTGTTTGAGGGACATTGCTGTTCACAAGTTGGCTGCCTTATTCACAATAAATCATGTGAAGCACTTTGAGAGGACTCCTGCCATGAAAATCACTATACCAGATGTAAGGATTCTGATTTCTTTAACTAAAAGACTATAATTGCAGATAGATTCAAGAGATTGGCCATTACACAACTAACCATTGTTCCCAAGGGCAAGAAAATTAATGTTCCCTTCTTCCCCCCGACCTCCTCGCCTCCCTCCCTTCCTCTCTCCCCCATTTGTATCTACTGAAGGGGTAAAATCAGCCAAGGTTCCCTTATCTGATCATCAGGTCAAGAAAACAAGAGATTCAGTTGAAGGCCATTTGAGCCATATGATCTCATCCTTCCAGGACTTGTTGTCATCCACTCTTACCCCATTTTTGAATAGACTGCTGTAACTCGATGTTTAAGCTTGGGTATGAAGATTGGTAATGTATCTGTGAAACAGCGTCCCAACAAAATCTGTCAGCCTTAAGTGGGGCGAAAATTAGAGAGAAGGAGGGGGGCAAAGAAAGCATTCTCCCTGATCTTTTCTTGCAGAATGTTGGACTGAATTCTCACCTGTAAACCAGCCACCAGTTCACTGTAGTACGCCTTGAGGTCCTGAACAGTTGCACTCATGTCTGGGGATCGGAATTGCATAGCCAGAGTCAGACACCTGTCTTCTGGGTCAGAGAGTTTCTTGAGATCCTAAAGAGAGAATATTGGGTGTGGTATGAGTTATTGCTTCAAATGCTATTTGTACACTCAGCATAAGTGTTTAACAGGAGCCTGTGTAAACCAGCCAACACCCATCCTATGAAAGAATTATGAATTTTTTTAATGTTGCAGAAAAAATAATACTTATTGTGTCAAAGTTAATGTTGCCTATATTCCATGAAAGTGCCTTTGGAAACATTCTTTTAAAAGGTTTTCTGATTATACAGGGGTTGTTTTTAAAAAATAAAAGATTATTAGGCCTCATAAGAATAATATCATCATGTCAATGACGGGAACAGCAAATTTAGTGCGTTTGCAGCACATTCCATTTAGTGATGATGAAATATCAGTTCCCCTTTAATTGTACCTCTGGAATAACAAACTTCTTTGAATATGCCATCTTATGGGTCTGGTATCGGTTTTTTTAAAAAAAGTTCAGAATCCTGAATCTAATCCTTACATGACAATTTGCAGATTTGTGTCGGGAATGCAATTTTCATTGGACTGGTTCTGAGGAATTGCCAATGAGCTCAAATCATCCTGTGAGGATGGCTGAGATTAATTCTGTGGAATCATCAATGGAACAGACCTTTTCAAGGGGCTGAATTGATATGAATACAGCTATAACAATGAAGGTATTCGAAAATATCAAACTTTCTTTAACTTGGTGTGGAAATGAGTCACTACAAAAAAAACCTGCCTTAGTGTCCAGAATTATAGCTTGCCACTTGATCAGTGATATTGAAAAGGACCTATACTGTTAATACATCTTTGCTGGATCTTTCTGAGGCTGACCGTAAAGCAATGCATGGTAGCTCTAACCAATATCTTGCTCTTGCCCATATCTAACGTATGATGTGCTTGATCTTTTCACTGGGTACAAAGTACTCCATTGTCCATCAGAGTTCTCCTTCACCTCACCTTAATGAGCACAGAAACAAAACAAATACTTGCTTGCTCTTGGGATCGCTCCATGAAGACCAGCTGGTCCTCTAGAATTTTGATCTGATCCTTCATCGCCAGGCACTGAGCAGTGGTGGCATCAATTTCCTGGAAAGCAATGTGTGCATTTCAACCCTTCCATTTCTAACCAACCCAAACCATATTTCTTGTGCTATCAGCAGGCTGGCAGACAATACACAGTCACTGAACCTTACAGCAAATTCTGTGAAGTGCTTTGAGCCATTTCGACGAGGCGATGAGGTGCTATGACAAACACAAATGTTATTATTTTATTAGTATTACTACATATGGAATTTTCAAGGTGGTAAGGAAAACTGTTTTTTTAAACTGCGTTCTTCATGCTTTTATTAAGTTTGAGACGTCTTGAAGATGCGATAAAACGCTATATCAAATGCAAGTATTATTTTTATACATTATATATAAAAAAAACCTCACTGAGGACCATTAAGTGCTACTTAAGCTGCTTGACTCACAACATAAGGGTGGCCTGAATTGATCCAGTCAGGCTAATGATGACCATGTTGTTTTGTCCAGTGCTGGCCAGCCTTTCACATCTTGCACTCTTTACAGAGAGAGATGCTACATCTGCTGCCTCTGATCTCTGGAAATCTACCAAAGGAGAGGTTTCCCTTTGAGTCAGCTTTTTTTTTNCAATCATGCCATTTATAGGGGCAAATGGGAACCAAACCATCTATTCATTGACTCCCATTTTCAACTGTACATGAGGCATTAAGTGAAACGCATTCATAGTGAAACACCACAAACAGCAAAGACATCCCAATGTCCTAATTCACTTGCTTTGTAAATGAATGGAAGAACATTCTCTTGTTTTGAAATGAAATTACTGCTTGCTTTGAGAGAATATCTGAGAGCTACCCTTTCATTCTTTAGGCTATAAGGAGCAGTGGAATGTGGCCCCCCAGATCAATGAAATTCAATGCACCCAGTTCTAATCTGCTTAATCTCCGTCTGCACACAAAACAAAATCCCTTAATTACACTTGAAAATTATTCATTTGAAAAAAAACAGCCAGTCTCAAGGTGCCAATGTTCTTTACATTAACCAGATGTGAGTTAGTTAGCTATGACCAATATAACTTTGAAATCCTAAAATTGATCATCACTGTATTTTAATGAGGGACTTCCGCCTATTGGAATCGATTTGTTTGTTGCTTCAAAACGTTGCGCTATTGGATTCTATTGATTGTTCAGTGTTTAATCACAGACAACCCGCCCTACCATCTGCCCATTTACATCATCAAGCTGTTCCTTAAATAAGTCCAGCATCCTGACATCGATCACCCTTCCTGGTAACCTGTTGCAGTTATTAGTGTGATGAAATACTTCCTGGTCTCTGTCCTGCAATTGTCCTTCATACCATGAATCTCTTGTCCTGCTGCCTTGGAGTTTCTGAAAGTGTTGTTCTGGATTTACTTTCTCAATCCCATTTATCTCTTGTATATCTTTATATTTATACTCCCACTCCCACCCACCCATAGAAATTTCCAGGGCAGAAAGAGGTCATTCAGCCCATCGAGTCTGCACTAGCTCTCAGAGCAAGGTGTCCATCCATTCAATCCCATCGTCTTGCCCTGTCTACTTCCCTCTTGAAACCCACAGTGGGCTCTGCCTCTATCATCTTCTAGTCATTCCACATCCCAACAAGTCCTTTCATCTAATTTTCCCATCTTTGCTGTATATTCCTTAATACGTTTAATACAATGCCAATCCCAACAATTCCTTCTGATCACAATTTTTTTTAAAAAATCAGAGGATGACAACTGAACTTAATTGCAAAACAAGGTCACACGTCACAGTATATCAAATCTCTAATGAGCATCTTTTGAACTTTTAAACTCGTATTTCTTTTCACTGAGTTAAATTTCAATAAATTTAAGAAGACGCTTTTGTGATTTATGGTACATTGTCAGAGTTGTCCATCATCCAACGTACAGTATTTTCCTCCTAGTGTAATGGACTTTTGGGAATATTGCCTAGTCATCTGGGCATCATGTTTTAGCTTAAAAAGGTCTTTTCGTCGACAGTTAAACCTTCCTTCTTACAAATATTCTTGAGTTTGTCCGTCTCATTTGGCTTAAAATCATTCCAATATTTTCAGCCTTAATCCAATTATCTGGCTGGATTTGTTGCAGGGTGAAAACTTGTGCAGATGGCAGCCAGTGTTGATTTGCACCAGGGCAAGAAGACAATTTATTAGATTCTGTTTAATTTATTCCGGTTGTAGTTATGTTTCTGCTGTGTCAAGTTGCAATTTGTGCTCAGCAATGTTCCACAAAAAGTGATTTTTTTATGGGGGTGTTGGGGTATGTTGTTGATCAAGACATCTGGAGAAACCCCCGGTGTCTTGATCTTGATGGGTTTTGTTTTTTGCCAATATTTAGTTCCATTTGTGAGGTATAAATAAGCAACTATCATGTACTGCACCAGCTTCTAAACCATGTATTTGGCAGTGCAGAGGTCAATTTCCTGCCTTGAGAGTTAATAACAGCTTATTATAATAACAACATCATAATAATCCTTGTATTTGGTATAGTGGCTTACCACCTTGTCGAAACAACTTCACAGGATTTGACTTTAAAGCGTAGTGACTGTGTGTTTGGAGATGAACGAGGCAGCCAATTTGCACACGGCAATGTCTCTCAAACAGCCGTGAAGTCAATGACCAATCTTATCTGGGGGTTGTTAGTCAGGACACGGGGGAAAACCTCCCTTCTCTTTTCCAGTATTGCCATGGAATCTTTAATGTCTGTTTGCCCAGGTGGATGGGATCTCAGCTCAAAGTTGTTAAAGATCTTGTGAAAAAGCGACCATTTTTTAATGAGGGATTGCTTACCTGTGCCAACTCCTCAAGCTCCTCCTTTGCCTCCAGATGCTTCTCCACACTCTCTTCATATCTCCCAATCTGGGCATCCAGTTCTTTCCCGAGTTCAGTGGTCTGAGTTATTATCTCATCCTAATAGAGAACAAATGTACCGTTTAGAAAGTTCAGTGGTAAATAACATTATTTGGTTCAATTCCTATCCAGTCAATGTTCTGCAAAAATAACAATACAATATTTACAGTACATCTTTTACATTGTTACTAAATAGTAATGTTAGCATTTTAATGTGAAGTGTAGTGACTGTGCATTTGTAGGCAAACGTAGCAGCCAATTTGCACACTGCGATGTTCCACAAACAGCCAGGAAGTGAATATTTTTTTAGTCCAGGTGGGGGGGAGTTGTTGATCAAGAAACCAGGAGAAACTCTTCTCTTTTCAAGTCGTGCAATGGCATCATTAACGGCCACCTGAACAGACAGGACCTCAGTTGAACATTTCATCCAAAGTTTGGCTCCTCTAACAGCGCAGGACTGTATTGGAGCATCATCCTAGACTGTGATCTCCCTCTAGAGACGATAGTGGAAATCTGTTTTTTAACCTTCTAATCCCACCAGCCCTTCAAGTCGATAACTCCCAGAGAGGGTATAGGGCGAGGTATAGGGAAAGTGATGGCTCATGTGGAGAATATCTCATCCAAAGGACAGCACCTCCAACAGCAACACAGAAGTTGTTTCTGCACTGCTTTGGAAAGTCAGCCTGGCCCATGTGAGCTCAAAGTCTTGTCATGGGGCTTGAACCGTCTGTCTAAGAGGTGAGAGTGCTACCAACTGAGTCAGGCTGCCACGTTAATATGGTAAACAATATTTCCACTGCTCATACCTGCTCCAGTATCACTAAGACTTGCTTATTAGTTCCAACTAGTGCTAAATTATGAGCATTTTTATACTGTTGACTGATCCACTAGAACCAGGATAAAAACTGCCCCATCTCATTCTTATAAGGAGTTTGATCTCTTCGATCTGAGTTGACCCAAAGGAAAAGGAGACCGAGTCACCAAATAACCCTTATGATTCTGACTAGAGCAGACTTCCACAATATAATAGTACTACTAATAATACTGCTAATGATTAATAATAATGCTTGCATTTGATAAGGCACCTTATCACATTGTTGAGACGTCTCAAAGCGCTTTCCAGGCTATCCTGTTGTAACTGTATTTTGCGGGCGAAATGAAGTGAATGGGTTAAAACGTGTTTGACAGACTTAAAAGGTTTGAGTGGAGCGAACTGTAAAATGGAATCTGATTTTAAGCAATCTTATTAATCTGATCTGACCTATCGCGTGTAACATACTGTAAGAATATCTACTGAAGCACAAACTTGGTTGATGTATAAATGTTACCTGCAGGCTGTGATTGCCATCTGTTGGTTAAAGTCAGGAGTTCAATACCAGAAAGTCACATCAATTTACAGCACAGAAGGCAATTTGGCCCAACCAGTCTGCGCTTGCTCTCTCAAAGAGCAATCCTTTCAGTCCCATTTACTTGTCTTTTCCCCATACCCTAGGACTGTTTTCTTGCAAGCTGGAGCATCTGGCTCCTTGATGAGACTCATTAGATTACCAGCTCACTCGCTGGCACCATTTCACTAAAACAACTGTGATTAGACGGATTTATTTTAGCCAACAAAACCAATCACGCAAAACCAGAGATACACCGACTTAGCACCATAGGATTGGAGAGAGCGCAAAGGGGGTCCATTTGAAACATGGGGTGAAAAATTAAATGTTTTATTACAGATTTGATGTGATAATCACATTGAAGGTGTTCTGAATTATTGCACTATAATAATAATAATCTTTGCAATCAATATAGTGCTTTACCAGGCCATTGATATGTCTCAATGTCTTGAGAGGATTTACTGTAAAATGCAGTGATTGTGTATTTGACTAACGCAGCAGCTAATTTGCACACAGCAATGTCCAACAAATACCTTTTTGAACAGTGACATGGGATCTTTAATGTCCCCATGAACAGGCAGACAGGACCTCAGATAACATCTCATCCAAAGGACAGCACCTTATTTTAACCCAACTATAATGCAATGTCTGGCCATTTCCCATGTGTTGACAAAAAGGTTGATCTTCTGGGGCTCCTCTGGAGAGCCTGCTAATCACTGTGTCATAAGATCAGGGCCTGTGCAGTACACAGCGGAAGGAGGACGTATCTTGCAATGATTGCTCCTCTGCACTATTAATGAGAATTTTGTTCACAGACAAAATATGGGGCACAAGAGAGTTCCACGCAAGACCATGCAAATGTATCAACCTGTCAAACTAATTAAGTTCTCTTAACATGAAGACAAATTGGGACACCCGTGAATGAATAACTATCCTACTGCGAACACTCCGAGTTCATACTCAATCCTGTGACGTTACTTTTTCTTTCCTCAGTTCCTCCACAATTGCATTCAGGTCAAGGACTTCCAGTGTCTGAGTCCCTCCGACAGTTGGCTCTGCCTCTTTCCCTTCTATTTCTTGTTCGAGAATCGCATTCTCCTCCTCCAAGAAACGGCTCTGGGTTAGATAAATAAATGTTAAGTCAGTCAACCCGGAGCCATGGGATACACTTTAGCCGGACGCTGATTAACCCCAGACGCCAGGTAAATTAGACAAAATGCCCGCCCGAAGTGTCCGGCTTAAGCAGCTTCCACTGTACTTAATCCCTGCTTTAGATGGGGCTAAACTGCAATATTTGCACAGTGATAATCCCTGCATCTGATACAGTGGCTTTCAGGTCAGGAGGACACCTTGAAGCCCTTTGTAGGATTTACTGTGAAGTGATGTGTTTTGCAGGCAAAAACAACGGTCAGTTTGTACACAGGAAATGGCCATGAAGCAAATGAACAATTTTAATCGGGTGGGGGGGGGGGGGGGGGGGGGGCTGTCAGCCAGGAGACCAGGAGAACGAATGGATTGAAGGTCCTTCTTTGCCCAAACTCTTTGCCCTGGCTTAATATGCTGCACAGTAAGGATCAGTGCCTCTCAGTGTGGCAAATTGCAGGTGTGGATCTAAATCCCACCAGGTTGCCTCACAGTGAGTGCACTGTCACACTGTTCTGAATTGTACAAATTCTTTATTTCTCTCAACCCACTGGATCCCCAGATTTCATGCACACTGTTGAGATTTTACGGGTTTTAGCTTTCACATAACAGATGAACACAATAGCAGTTGTTGCACAAATACTTTTACATAAAACTTACATACTCGATGAGGCTCACGAGGCGGTCATTCAAGGCTGCTATCTGACTCCTATCCGCCCAGCACTCGTGAAGGTATTTCTGGTTAACTGCGCTAAAGCTTTGGAAGTCAATTTCGTCATCACCTCCCAAGTAACCTCCCCTGCGAACGAGGAAAACAATCACCAAGCCCGGTAAATTCTCATCAAAGACAGACTCAAACCTGTTCTTGAGAGCTGCACTAGGTTAGCCATGAGCTGAAACATCAGCTCTAAAATATATTGAACTGAACTAGAAGAAGAATCCTTGCATTTTGATACAGTGCCTTTATTCATGTCGGAAAGATGTCTCAAAGTCCTCCACAGGATTTACTGTAAAGTGTAGTTACTGTGTATTTGCAGGAAAACGGGACATGGTTTAAGCGCCCACAAAACAGATCAAACAGAATATATTTGTCTACTTTGAAAAATTTTGCGGTTGGTGAACTGTCTGTTGATATATTGACCACTAGATGGTAATGTTTCAACCTGTAGTGTGCTTGACACATGACAAACTATTTGTAAAACTGACTCACTAAAGCAAGTTTATAGTTCTTGAGGAACAGTGTAAAGTATGACATTTATGAAATGTTTATCAAACTGGCATTTAAACTAATATTTGAATGAGTAATTAGTGTTTGTATAGGTTACGATGGGGCTGTTCATCTGTTGTTAATATGTAAAATACAATACAATTTCCATTTATGTAGCGTCTTTCGCATCAGGAGAACATCTCAAAGCATGTGACACTGCAAATGCTTCAACAACTTGCACTTGTATACTGCCTTTCACACAGGGCTCCATTTCAGAGCGCTTAACAGTGGCAGAGCCTGACGCTGAGCCAGAATGCATTAAGAACACCAAACACTGAAAAGGAAAACGCTCAGTAACATAAGAACGGAGCTGATAGCACTTTCATTTCACTTTCAGAGCCAGACATTTATGGGTTCAAGCCCCACAGCGGCACTTTGAATTTACAGTCTAAATCGAGTGCTGTATTGCTGTAAGTGTTGTTGTTCAGATGAGAGGCGAGACCAAGGTCTTGTCTGCCTGTTTAGCTGTTAAAAACAATGGGTGAACCTGGTAAGTAGTCAGAGTTCCTTAAAATAACTGGCTGCCAAATTAAGATCGAATGTAAGAATTTTTTACAATTCCGCACGATCTTAAATTTTAAGACAAAGTGCTCTTCCAGGCTAAGACTGGGTAGAGTTTTGGGGCTCCTCAGGGACTTTCAAGTGGAACAAGTTCAGCACTGCGATCTGTCAAAAATGACAGAATTTTCTAACCGCCCCTTTTTCGATGTATTTTTTTCCAGCACTGAGTGGAGCTGTACAGTATGGTACAAAGTAGGGTAGTCACTGACCTTTCTCTGCGGTTCCACTGGTAACTGACTACAGGACCAGACCCACATGGACTCTCCTGGAAAATGCGTCGGTAGGACGAGATCCTTGAGAAGTTCATTGTCCGGCCGGCCTGGCTTAGAACAAATGCACAGGCTGTTTCGCCCTTTAGGCTGGAAATGCAATTTTAAAGGAGGGCGGTGATGTTATTATTTCGATTGCTATGTGACAAGAGGGTGAGGCATTTTCAGCTGATCATTCAAAAGTACAGAAATAGGCGAGTTCTTATAGCTACAACAATTAGCAAGTAGTGCTTGACATCGTCCATCGTCAAATGCCAGTGTCAGCCTTTCCTACGTGTGATCTGCTGTTTACGCTAAGTTTATCTGGGGGATTGGATTAAATAGCACCCTTCAAGCAGGGCAGCGTTTCAGAGCATTTAACAGTGGCGGAGCCTGACTCCGAGCAGGAATGCCATGAGAATACCAAACACTGAAAGGAAAATGCCCAGTTACATAATAATAAGAACAGAACTGGTAGCACTTTCACCTCTGAAATGTCCTCCCAATGTCCTCGCTTTATATCTGGTGGGAATATTGGGAAAAACTCCCTTCTCTTTTACTAATAATGCGATGGGATCTTTAACATCCATCTGAAACAGGCTGACAGGGCTTCAGTTTGATGTCTCATCTGAAGGACAACACTTTAAACATTATGTAGTGCACTCCTATCACTGATTGGAGTGTCACCCTAGACTATAACAACACCTTGCATTAATACAGAGCCCTGACACAGATAGTGTCTTGGAGTGCTGCACAATGGCATGGTTAGAAACTGAGCAAGGAAAGTAGGGGGAGGTGATCGCAAGGGCGGTCAGAGGGAGAGAGGGAGTGAGGTAGGGAGTTGCAGAGGTTAGGGGTGTAGTGGCTGAATTATGTGAGTTTAAACTCTCAAAATGGGTCTTAAACACACAACCTTAACTCAGAGGCACCTGACTTGGTGATCTCTCAATATGACACCTTAGCTAATTCGCATGAGTGTAAACTGATGCTACTGTCTGCAAGTAAACTAGTAACTTCTCAAATGTCATAACCAGAACCAAAGTCTACATTAATATGGCAGTACTACATTAATGTAATAATCCTTGCATTTCATATAGCATCTTACCACATTGTTGAGACGCCTCAAAGCACTTCACAGACTACTGTAAAGTGAATGGACTGTATATTTTGTGGGCAAAACAGGGCAGCCAATTACACACAGCAATGTCCCACAAACAGTTGTGGATTGAGTGACAAAATTATTATTATTATTATTTTGAAAGGGATTATTATACCCAGAAAACAATCTGTCAATCGATTAACAACAGTGTTCTTACTTATTGCTAAGTAAAGCGAGGCATGTGGAGTAAGGAAACTTGCCTAAGGTTTCGCCTGCCCGGGAATCGAAACCAGGTCCTCTCACTTGCCAGGCAAATGCTCTAAACACTAAGCTACAGGATTCCACAAAGATCATGATTCATTGGATTTGAAAATACGGAAATGATAAATTTCAGTGTAAACACTTTGGCAGCTGATTTGCAGAACTGAATGACAGATGGTGTCCGCTATTTTGAGAGTTTAGGTTAGTCGGGTTATTTTGAATACACATGTGAAATGGCAGTGCCACATAATGTGGCATGTCTCGTTGCTGAAAATACAGAACTAGAAGCCAATTTCTTTCACAGCAGTTACGGGTGACATTTCACAACTGCTGTCAACATTTCATTGCTCGTTGACAAATCTTTGTCAGCATTCAACCGTACCATTTTGCAGCTGGATATTTTGGTTAAAACAATTTTTTTCCACCAACAACAATAAGCAACATGTCCTAGTTTGAGGCTAACTACAGTTTATAATTTGTAGAGTCCTGTCGCTCAGCGGTTAGAGAACTTGCCTCGCAAGCAAGAGGACCTGGGTTTGATTCCCGGCAGGGCGAAACGTTAGGCAAGTTTCCTTACTCCACGCGCCTCTGTTTACCAAGCAGTAAGTAGGAACCCGGTTATTGGTCGATTAGCAGATCGCTTCTCTGGAGTAATAATCCCTAAAAACAATAATAAATTGGTCACTCAATCCACGACTGTCTGTGGGACACTGCTGCGTGTGACTGGCTGCTGTGTTTCTCCCAATAAAATACAGTCCATTCACTTTACAGTGATATTCTGTGAAGCGCTTTGAGACGTCTCAACGGCGAGATAAGGCGCCTTATCAGTGGAGTCCTGCAGCTCAGTGGTTAGAGCACTCGCTTTGCAAGCGAGAGACCTGAGTTCAATTCCAGGCAGAGGGCGAAACCTTGGGCAAGTTTCCTTACTCCACACAGAGCCTAATAATAATCCCTCCAAAACCAAAAACAATAATAAATTGGTCATTTTTAATCTACGACTGTTTGTGGGACATTGCTGTGCGCAATTGGCTGCCGCGTTCGCCCACAAATATACAGTCAATTCACTTTACAGTGTGTTCTGTGAAGCGCTTTGGGACGTCCTCCCGACGTGAAAAGCGCTATATCAAATGCAAGGATTATTATTATTATTATTATTATCAAATGCCAGTGCAGCGCCTTGGGACTTCCTCCTGACGTGAAAGGCGCTTTATAAATGGAATCTTGTTGTTGTTGTTGTTGTATTAATATTATTGGAAGCTGAGCTCTGGGCTGTGCAGTGCAAGGTGGCGCGGGTAGGGGGCGCTGCAGGTGACGGTAGTGTGTGTGGAGGGGGGGCGCTGCGGGTGGCGGGTGGCGCGGCTAGGGGGCGCTGCAGGCGGCTGGGAGGGGGAGACGCCGCCGCCGCCGCCGCTCTTGACGGGCTGTGTGGAGTGCGGCGCTCGTTGGCGAGCAGCCGATGGCGTCGAGGGGAAGCGGCCGGAGCTCGAGCTGATATCCCCGTCGCCCCCTCTCCAGCGCCGCCGCGGCTGAGGAGAACCATGACGGAGGCGGCGGCCAGAGGGCGAGGCGCCGCCGGGAAGCCGCTGGTGATATCCTTTTGCTCCGGCAGCGGGAACCGGCTGCAGGGAGCGGGGGGCCGCCCGACCCGAGCCCCCGGACTGTACCTGAGCCCCCGCGGCCCCCACCCCCTCCACCCCCCGGCGGGGGGGGGGTCCTCAGCACAGTCCGTCCTGTCTGACTGTCTGACTGTCTGTCGGTCTCCCCCCCCCTCCCTCCCCCCCCCCCCCACACCAGCCCCCAACAACAACAACAACATTACATGTGTAAAGCGCCTTTCACGTCGGGAGGACGTCCCGAGGCGCTGAACAGTCAGAGTTACAGAGCTGAGGGGAGGGTTGGGGTGGGGGGAGCGGGTGGGTGGGGGGGAGTGGGGGGTCGGGCTGCGCGGAGGTGGAAAGCACAGTCGAAGAGGAGGGTCTTGAGGTGGGGCTTGAAGGTGGGGAGGGAGGGCGGGGGCGTGACGGAGGGACCGCGGGACGGAGTTCCAGAGGGTGGGGGCAGCGCGGCGGGTGGTCCGCCCGCCGGTAGTGGGCCGAGGGAGGCGGGGGACGTGAAGCAGCCGGAGCCCGCTGAGCGGAGGGAGACGACGGGGTGGTAGGGGGTGTTAGGAGGTCGCAGAGGTCGGGGGGAGCAAGACCGCGGAGGGCTTTGAAGGTGAGGACCAGGATCTTGAGCTGTATTCAGTCTCTGTCTGTCTTCCCCCCCTCAACTGTCTCTTGTCTCCATCCCCCCAGTCTCTGGCTGTCTGTCTGTCTGTCTGACTGCCCGCCCGCCCCCACCCGCCCTCTTCGCTGTCTGCCCGCCCCCACCCACCCTCTTGTCTGTCTGTCTCCCTCCGTCTGTCTGTTTCCCTCCCCTCACCCACCCAATCTCCATCTGTCTGTCTTCCCCCCCAACCTAGTCTCTGTCTGTCTCCTGCCCCCCCCCACCACCGTCTCTGTCTGTCTGTCCCCCTCCCACACACACACAGTTGCCACCCCCCCTTGCTCCTCCCCACAGTCTCTGTCTGTCTCTCTCCCCTCCCCCCCCCACAGATAGTCTCTCTCTCCCTCCCACACAATCTCGCTCTCTCCCCTCCTCCCCACACACACAAAATCTTCTCACTCTCTCTTCCCTGAACTTGCTGCTTAATTATTTGAGTCTAAAGTCCTGATGTTATTTGTAATGAATTCAAACAAGAGCCATTTTCCAGCTGGTGTATCTGATGAGTCTGTGACATTCATAGCTGTTTGCTTATACTATTCAATCATAGGTTTATCTGCTGATGTCTTTCCAAACAGTGATACTGTCTCAATAATCTGATTTTCTTTAAGATATTGTTAGATTGAGATCGAATGAGTTTGAAATGTTTTTATTATCCAGCACTTTTGCATTCTGGGTATCATCACAAGCCTGGTATGCATTTTGCTTTTGAGTCAGATGGGTGTGGATTCAAGCTCCATGTTAGAACTTTGAACTCATATAGTCCAAGAGCTGACACTCACTTACAGTGCTGGAGGTGTGCTACATTGTTGGAGGTGACATCCTTCAGATGAGACTAAGATCTGGTCTGCCTGTTTCTTCTGGCTGCCATCAATCCCCCAGATAAGTTGAGTCATTCACTCCATGGCTGTTCGTGGGTCATTGCTGTGCACAAATTTACTGCAATGTTTATTTTGAAAATACATAGCCGCTGCACTTGACCGTAAATCCTGTGAAGGGCATTGAGACGATCTCCCAGTGTGAAGGGCGCTCTTGATATCAAATGCAAGGATTAATCTTTAGACATACCAAAAGGCAAATGCAGGATAGTTAGGTGTGATGTTTGATTAATCGTTTTGAATAAAGATTGGTTAATTGCATCAAATTACTACTGACATTGGGTAATTAAAAGGGAATAACTCGTATTAAGTGTTGTTAAATCTTGCAACTGAAACAAGTCAGAGTAGAGCTGCATTTGAAGACTAGTGGTCAGAGTGACAAATGACATTCTGTCCATCTGCGACCAGGGCTCCCTCTCCCTACTCGCCCAACTTGACCTCTCTGCTGCTTTCGACACCATCGCCCACTCTATCCTCATCCACCGCCTCTCCTCTCACCTCAACTCCACAGCGCCGTCTCGTGCGGCATTACTCAAGGCTCTGTCCTTGGTCCTCCTCTTCAATATCTATATGCTCCCTCTTGGTGACATAATCCACAGACATGGGGTTCAAATTCCACATGTGTGTGGATGACACCCAACTGCATCTTTCTGCCTCCAACCTTGATTATAATTATATAATGATAATTATAGTGAAAGGTGCTATACAAATGTAATTTTGATGTTGTTGTTGTATTGGGGCTAGAAATGAAACTGAACCTTAGAGGCAGCAGTAACTATTTTACTTTCTGCAGTTTGTGAGGAAAAAATGGAAAAAGATTTACTGTTCAGTTTCAGTTTCTGCAACAGAATCCAGATAATGGGAGATTGGCTAAATTGTGTCAACTTTCAGTTTCTCTTAATTGGCACCCGGATGGGATTTCTCAAGTCGCTAGCTGATAACTCTCGACATAAACATCACTGGAATGTTTGACTAGACTGGGGAGGCTGGATAGGATGTGATCTCGCTTAGGGTGGAAGAAGAAAAGTAGATTTAAAAGTAAATATATATTCAATCCACGACAGTTGGGACTTGTCATTTTTCAGAGGAGGGAGAAAGAGAGAGAGAGGAAGCTTTGGTTTAAGATATTTCCCCTTCCAATTATGTTTCCCTTTAACTTATTGTCCCTCACGAAATGTGCCCCACCATTGGTGTCCACCTTAAGGCATTGCCTTAAGACCTATCTCTTCATCCGTGTGACATGACTTGTGACTTCCTCCAGATGTGAAAGGTGCTATATAAATTGTTGGTTTGGTGATAAATGTTGCAAGTCTGTTACTGTAAATAGATTTTTTGTAATATTGTGAACTTAGTGATTCTGATAACTGGCATGCTTGATTTTTTTTGTTGTGATGATGAATTGTACTGAGGTTCCAACACCCCCCCCCGCCCTCTGCCCACATCACAATCTTGTAGTCTCTGAAGTAGCATACCATTTTAGTGAGAGTAAGTATTATATTACGGGCAGTTGTGCTTGCACATCTGCTCATAGGAACTGGTTTGAGACTAGCGGTACTTGTACTCTTTACCCCTTTAGTATAGACTACACTCAAAACCAGAAGGGATAGTACAGTATTCTAACCTATTGCATCACTGAATTCCTGCAAGAAGCTCTGCTTTAGATTGAGTAATGAATCACTTGGGCAGCTTGGTATCCGACTGAGAGAAACCATCAGTTGCACACACCAATTACAACATGGACTGGATTAGTTATTTCCTAATGCTTCACTGGAAAATCATTTTTGAAAGGTATAGCAAATATGGCACAATAGTAGTTATTATAATAAATGATAATCCTTGAATTTGATATAGGGCCTTGTGTCTTCGAGACATTTTAAAAACGCTTCACAGAATATACTGTAAAGTGAATTGACTATGTTTTGTGGGTGAAACGCAGTAGCCAATTGCGCACCACAGTGTCCCACAAATAGTCGTGGATTGAGTGACCAAATTATTACTATCATCGTTATTACTGTGGTGTGAATTTTTTCACATCAATGCTTTGGAGCATACCACCTGCTCTCATGATACAGACCAATTTTTTTTTCAAAGTACATTATGTGTGGGATAGTGATTACAAAAGCAAAAACATTAAGAGATTTCTATGATGCAGTAATCTTATAATTACCCTTAGATGTTTTCTCCCCCATTTTATAACTGCAGGATTGATTGGAGCACACTTCTCTGTCACTGAGCAATAAGTTAATACTGGTTTTGTTGTACATTTTTATTCTGGTCCATTGTTCTGATGTATGAAATTCCTTAATGATTTGATAAGCTGTGTACGGTTCTGAGCTGAAGGATGGACTGAAAGTGCCAAGTGCATTACTTCTCGTTGAAAACAAAGGTGAATATGAGTAAGTATTGTGGATATATTTGCTTGTTTTCCATACACTTGCTGAGATTATCCAAATTCATTTTCCTTTGGGCCCTTAATTGTTGATGCAAGTAAGATGACTTTCAGGCCATTTGTCTCACCAGAGTTAATTGCTTGGTTGAAGTGGCAAACAGTATGAAGTTAAAGTGGGCAGTTGCTGCCGTTGGACAAAAAAGATGTTTGAATGTGTGAATCTCAAATTGGCGGGACACCAAAATGCTTCAAGGACTATTTGTTCTGCTAGTAACATCTGTGCATCTCCTTTTCATATCAAAGCTGCAGTCTGATATCCCTGTAATTAGGACCCATATTCTTAAGCATCACTTGTTCGCTGAAAGGAACATTTGTTCATTGAGTGTTCAGGCATTTGGAAAATACAGACATTTGGGAAATTAACAATATAGCAATAGATTATTCGTGATGTATTGTGCTTCAACAGCAGAATTGACACTCGCCATGGTAGTTTGATTTTTAAATCTAGCATATTAAAAATTAATTTGTGTATATTGATTTCAGAGTCAGTTTAAACATTGTCTGGTCACAGTTGATATTGTTATGAATGTGTTCATTTTTATACAGCAGTTAATTCTAAGTAGATTGAAGTAACTATTTGTTCTGTTTAATTCTCATTACTATCCCAGCGTGAAAGGTGCTACATAAATGCAATTTGTTGTTGCTTCTCTGAGTCTATCCATAATGGTCAAATACACAACCACTGACGCTGGGCAGGGTTTCACCCTAAAGATTGCTCTAAAAGAGAAGTACACCTAACTCTTAACTGAGGCAGGAAAAAAAGTACAGTAATTGAGTTTTAGAAAGTATGTATTCATTTGCTTAGACTCCGTAGCTGCAATTGCACAGACACATTAATTATTCAAACCTATAATCTGCTTCAAATAAACTCAATTCAGATCGCAATCCTTGATTCAAAATAGCTTTCTTTTTTTATTCCCTCTCATTCTGTTCAGAAAGCTGTCTGAGATGCAGATCCTACTAAATTACCCATTAATCTATCTCTGCACATTTTCCTGTCTTTACCCAAAATCTATTAGATTGTGTTTTCAGGCATGTTGTTTCATGCTTCCTCTTGCTGTGCCATGTCTGTCCGTTGCTGAATGACCTATTTGTTGGGTCATATTTATTGTATATTTAGTAATGATCATCCAACAAACAAATGTTGTCTTTATCATCCGCATTATTCACCTCTTCGTAAGCTGAAGATTTTCAGTACTTCTGTTAGGCTGCCTTGGCCCATAAGTAGTTTGTGCTGAAAGGATAGGGAATGGATTTGAACTCTTTGGTAATGCACGAGAGAAAATTCTATCAGCGTCCCCACCGTTTCTCAAAATTACTTATCGATTTCAGATCCAGTAATGGACCTCAAAAGGAAGTCTTTCAAGCAGGTTGCACAGCTCAGTACATTTGGAGAAGCATGATAGAATCAATCTGTTGAATTTGTAATGAGTACTTTTATGTTACTCCAGATAACCTTCATGCTTATCCATTGCTTTTTTTAAACTTTCTCTGAGGCAGACCCTTCATTCTCCCTTAACCACTTTCAGCTTTCCATTTAGCTCTTCAATAGACAGTATAGCTTAGCCACAGTAGAGATTACTTTACAGTCCTCTCTTAGTTCTGGGCTTATGTTCTTTTGGTCACAAAAAGAGTTTCTCTTGGTGTTCTGGCCGACAATTCCCTAATTAATAATTCATTCACTTCATGGCTATGGGACAATACTGTGCGCAAATTAGCTACCGCATTTCCCTACAAAATACAGTCATTTTTTTTAGTCAGGCAGGTTTCTTGACATGCGGAAATCCATTACCATGCATAAAAGTATCCAAACCAAACTGACTACCATGCATCCCACCAATACATTGATATTTATTGCAATGGAATGCACACCATCTTCCTGGAAGGATGCATCCTACTTACCTAATTCTGGAAACAGTCAACACTTGGGCAGCCAAGAGGGTGCATTTGGGATATTGCTGGAGTCTTAACCATTTTAGTGGAGTCCTGTAGCTCAGTGGTTAGAGCGCTCGCCTTGCAAGCGAGACACCTGGGTTCAATTCGAGGCAGGGCGAAACCTTGGGCAAGTTTCCTTACTCCACACGCCCTAATAATAATCCCTCCAAAACAAAAATAAATTGATCATTTTCAATCCACGACTGTTTGTGGGATACTGCTGTGCGCAATTGGCTGTGGCGTTTCGCCCAAAAATATACGGTCAATTCACTTTACAGCATATTCTGTGAAGTGCTTTGAGACGTCTAGAAGACGTGAAAACACTATATCAAATGCAATTATTATTATTATTGAGAGCAGTGCCTGGCAAGCTTTCCTGTCCAACTAAGACCACCCTAGCCATCAGCACTTTGGTTCGCAGGGTTACAGGGAGGGAACCGTGTGTGGAGAATCCCTGCCCCACTGACTGGTCTGCCCTTCCAGGTCCTGCCAATGAGTTGGCTGACTGCGCTGTCATCAGCAGTGCCCTGGAATACCGCAGAACTGCCTGATTTAGGAACTGGACTACCAAGACCGCCACAGCCATCTGGCTCGATTTTGACATTCCATTGCCAAACATGTCACCCTGGAGCCAGTTCAGCTCCAAGGAGACTCCACTCATCTTCCCCCAAGGAGCATTACCAGTTGGCCATTTGACATCCGACAAGTATGGGTTTGAGCCCTCACTTGGTGGATGGTAGGTACGAGGAACTCCCTGCGAGCTTCATGGTAGGCAACACAGCTCAGCATGAAATACGTAAGAATATTGCCACCATCTTCCTGTCCAAAGCTCAGACACACGTCCCTTCCCACTGAGCGATGGTTCCACCAATTGGAAGTGTGGAGCTTAAGCATCAGCCAGCTCTCTGCAAGCCAATCAAACATGTGTTCATGAAGTCGCCTTCCAGCAGCTGTCTGGGAGAATCTGCCTTCAGCATGGTGGGAGGACCTTTACAGGACAGATTGCAGCCACCTTGATGTTCTTGAGGTTCAAGTGCAATGCCGTGTACCAGGCTAACTCAGCGGCAGCTGCTTAATCCAGGTCTTTGTGTGAGGGACCTTGGCAAATAGACGTGCTTACAGTCACTACACATTACAGAAAACACTCAAGCATTTTGGGAAGTTTTAACATAATATGCTATATCAAATGCAAGGATTCAATATTATTTCTGGTCAAAAGTTACAGCTGAATTTGTTGCCAGAAAGTGCGCTATTCTTAAAGATACCTCAGCAAAGGCAATCCATGTGTTCTGATGTTCCTTTGAGCAGTTACAGAACATCCACAAAATACTATAGCTTGGAAACTGCAGGTTGTTTATAATGCAATTCTCATTTTTATACTTTGTTAATAGAACCGTTCAATAGTGCACAGACTATATCAAATGCTGGATTGTGCATGAGATAAATACTCCAGTTATGTTTGTCTGCCATGTAATGGCATTTGTGATTGCGTATTAATTGCTTTACGTATGCTTTGCTGGTATGTGCTGCTAATTTTTTTTAATTAAAGGACTAGCTATTTATTCCCTGAGTTTATTTTTCCTTCTTCCTATGTCATACACATTCTTTTGCTAATATTGGCCATGTGAGGCAAAGCTTTTGTTGCTGTCAGCGGCAACCTCCCACATGTGTGGGGGCAGAACTAAAGTGCTACACTAACCAAATGTGCAGTGATGTACGTCTTTAGAATTGGTTTAACAAATGATAATGAAACATTAGGTAGGTTTTCCAGTTGATGCATACATTTTAAGGAGGCTCAAAGAGGATCTTTTTAAAGTTATAAAATAATAAACATGGGCATCATACTTTAGAGTGTGATGAAATAAGAAGCATATTTCACAACATCTTTTTGTTGTGTGGGTGCAGGGAGGTGGAAGCAGCCAAATAGTCAGGTCTGTAGTAATCCAACACATGGTTGACGGTTGACCATCCTGCCAGTCTCGTCAAAGAGTCTCGGAAATGTGGATATGTCCTTCATCGTGGGATCCAAAACCTCTTCCAATTTAAATTTATTAAAGGACTAGCTATTTATTCATTTATTTATTAATAAACTCTCACTATTAAATTTAAGTTGGTCCTTGACGAGCACGTAATGTGGAACTTCCTAGTGTTAAATTCTTACAACTTCTTAAAAGCTAAACTGCCTTCATTTGAAACTGGGTGGTGGGGTGGGGGGGTCGGGGGAATTTTGGCTGCCTAACTTACAATAAAAATCAAATGAATTAACATTAGTTAGGTGGAGAATGCACAGGTCAGCTGCAAAACTTGTGAGTTTTATTTTGAATGATTGTTGACATTGCATTTGTGACATTTGATGTGTTTAGTGTTTCCATCTACGCTGCATTATGTACATAACTAATTTTACATTGATGTATCTATCGTCTTACACGTCAGGAGGACATCTCAAAGTGCTAAACTGCTAATATTTTTAAATGTCAGTAATTATCTGATCGTTTTTATCCACAATATTTTAGCTGATGGCTACAAATCCATTTTGAACATTGAAGATGGGTGCGGAGAAAATAGACTTGTGATTCTGGTGGTTGTTGAGAATCTCCTCTCCCCTCTCCCACCCCAAACTGTTTCAAAGAAATATGTAGATTTTTCTTCCTGTTAACCTGTCTTGTGTTCCCTCCTTGCCCAGTTTTACACTTTATACTAAATTGGCTACTTGTTTTTGAGCTGCTGCTGGCTCGAATTAGCAGCTGTGTCCCCATAAAACCATTCACTTTAATTTTAAAACAGTCTAATTTTGACGTTTGCTACATTAAAGAGAGAGACTATTTGAATGCTAACTGCACTTGATCCATCGTTGGTGCTCCAGCTGTGCAGTTGGTGTAAATACACGCAATAAAATGTTAGTTAATTATCTTTTTAAACGTACACTAATTTTGCAAAAATTGCATTCCACACAGAGTAGTGATGTTCCTAAGGTTGCTGCTTTTCTGTTGGCTTTGGGTATTGCGTAGCGCACAAAATTAAACATGTCTAAAGTCACGCTAGCTAACCACTGTGGTATTGTCTTAACTTCCGTGCTCTATGTGGTTCTGCATTCTGCAGTTCCCTCTGAGCTCTATTCACAAGGTGTATGCATATTCTTTGTTAACTGCATGTTATGAAAATGAATTCCTTGGAAATTTTCAAAGATGGAAGGAACTTTATTGGCTTTCGGGTCCCAGCAATGCCTGATATGTGATGCATCAATTTACCCGAGTTGTAGAGCTTTTGATTTTCTGATTCCACGTAAAGAACCAGAAGTGTGAAAGTGCTCAGTTTTGACGGCTTATGGAGATGGTTAATTGTTTATGCTAATTTAGCAAAGTAAAAGCAAATGTATTCAGATTTTACAATTTAGTGGGTTGTACAGCAGGCCTGTACTGCTAGTTCTACAAAACAACAACGGCAAATTACACTTGTATAGCGCCTTTCATTTCTGAAAGACGTCCCAATCAGAAAGACAATCAGATGTCCTCCCCAAGTAAAGGGCAAATATCTTTCCCCGTAGAACTATATAAATACAAATTGTTGTTGTTGAAAGATGCTTTATCAAATGCACGTGTTATATACGAGTTGAGGCGTAACATTTTTGAATAAATAATGTACGCAAGGTTTGAACAGTTTTAAAATTGGGCCTTACTATATCTAAATTCTTTGGCCCCAGCATCGTGGAGTTCTGTAACTCAGTGGTTAGAGCACTCGCCTCGCAAGCAAGAGACCCGGGTTAGATTCCTGGCAGGTTGAAACGTTGGGCAAGTTTCCTTACTCCACACGCCTCTGTTCACCTTGTAGTAAGTAGCAACCTGGTTGTTAGTCGATTGGTGGATCGCTTTTCCGGGGGTAATAATTCCTTCAAAAATAATAATAATAATTCGGTCACTTCATCCATGACTATTTGTGGAATACTGTTGTGTGCAATTGGCTGCCGCATTTCGCCCACAAAACATACAGTCAATTCACTTTACAGTATATTCTATGAAGCACTTTAAGATATCTTGAAGACATGATAAGGCATTATATCACACGCAAAGATTATATTATTAAGTGGAATCCTGTTGAATCAAACTCCAAAAATCCAAGAGATATAGCCAATGGAAATCAAAGCTGATAAATACCATTTAGTGATACAAATCCATTTTGTACCGCTCCAGAGACATCATCTGTCAGGAAATTGCTTGTACAGATAAAATATTTCAGCCACCAAATTCGATTTTCCTTTTGATATTTATCAACTAAAAAGTGACAGTAGCTTTTTTTTCCCCAATTGTAATTGACAATCTTTGCTAACTTAGAAATAGAACTTCAATTCCTACAAATATTCCTATACTGGACTCCAGTTTCATTTTTTCTTGCAGCTGTAAATTAAAAATGATCCTCAAAATAAGTTTGATAAATACTGTAATGAATATTAGGATAGGCCTCAAATCTGCGATTGGTTCAGGAGTATTGTCTACATACCACACCAGGACTATGCTTTTCTCTGAATGTTAAGACACTACTGAGATTAATTTTGAAGGTTTTGAAGTTAATAAAATATTTTTACCACAGGTAAGGTTTACCAACAATGGAGCACATTCCCTGAAAGCTTTCATTTCTGTTTCTCATTGCTGGCATCTTAGACATTATGATTAGGGACTAGTATTTGTACATTAACTTAACAACGATGGTTGTCTTTTCATTGCAGATTATCCATCTCTACAAATTCAGAGCCTAATGTTGGAACTGTCGCTCATCAGACACTAATCCCCATTAATAACCAGTTTCGCATCATACAAGGTACAGGGACTGCAGCTCTGAGAAATTAATCTAAAGTAAAGCAAGGATGTTGGTGCAATTAATTCTATTTGGGGAGATTGTTAATCAATTCTGCTTTACCTGTGCAGTTATTGCATGGATGTTGCATAAGTCAATGATTCACTTTATTTATTGATATGCCTTTGTTAAAGAGTAACTGGGAGTAAAGAGTAGATTACATAATGTTTTGATATGGGTGTTATATTGCAGATGCAATGCATTGTGCCTAATGAGACAGATATGGGTTTATGGATATGTGCAGCTGCTTATGTAATCTGAGCCATTTTGTTGGAGAGCAGAGGCCAAGTGATCCCTCACATGGAGGAGAATACTTGAAGCAGAGTTATTCAACACCCTGCTCACCACATAGTGTCCAGTTACAAAGCAGTTTTGGCAAAGACTGAGGTAGGTCCTTTTGGCTGGGAGCCTGCACAGTGCAGTGGGATCTACAGTGTAGTAGGAACAATAAGAGTTGATTTCAATACCTTACCTCCGGGTAAGTGCTCTGAGACACTACCCCGCATGAAGGACGCTATGTAAATGCAAGTTGTTGTTGTTACTTGGGATAAAAACAGAATCACAGTCCTTTTCTTCATGTCTTCTTTGTCATTGTTCCAAGTTTGTAAAACTCTTCTGTGCCTAGAATTAAAAGTATTGGATGTTGTGGCCCCACTGAGTTTTGGTTTAACGAGTATTCATTCACTTGTTAAATGTTTGTGCGGGAAGAAACATGATTTGTTTCACCTTTTATTATGGTTAATGTTTTAATGCTAATGGCGAGAGGATTGTGAGGTGTGTCTCATGTGCAACAGTTTTATCAAATGCTTTTCTTCTTGCATTCTAAGAACGTGTTGCTTATTTTCAGAGGCAGAAGAGGCTCTCTTGACAGATGACCCATTTACACGTGAGTAGCTTTAAAATAAAGTTTATAATGGATGCAGTGGAGCGGATTGACAAACGTAAAATAGACTGCTTTTGCTTGTAATGACTAGCTGTAGTTTGTCTGACAAATTACTCTCCTTTAAAATAAAGGATTGATTCACTTGATTAATGCTTTGAAGTGATTAATGACTTTTTCTTGATTCTTTGCTGTGGCCACTTGTATCCTATTTCTGTGGAGAATACAGTGGTCAGATGCAATAACCAGGAAATAATATCTTTTCAGATGGGACATTGTACTGCATTTACCTCAAGTGATCATTAACTGAACTGGAATATTCCTCATGCTTTGCACTAGATAAGAATTTGTTTTGATTTTTGTTAATATCAATTTGGAATGATAATAATAATCTTCTTTACAGTATATTCTGTGAAGCACTTTGAGATGTCTCGACAATTTTTGTTGCCAAACTTTATTGTTGTATCAAACGTAAAAATAAACTAAGTTTGGCAAATATTTATCATCAATAATCAATCTTTATATTTGATATAGTGCCTTTCACATCATTTTTTAAAATTTATTTTTCTTTGAAGGGATAACCCCACTGAGTATTTTTATATCCCAGAATTTGTGAAGGTGCATACAATTGTGTATAAACTAATCAAGTCCAGTCTATAATAATAATAATTATTGTCTGCAACAGCCATTATGTTTATATAGGTTTTTGACAATGCTTGTACATTTTATTCTTCAGGTGCGTGTAGGATCCGTGTACAGGGGGACCGAGCAAACTACCTCTTTGAGCTCCCAGACGATGACGTCTGCCTTGTCTTCCTCACTGAGGTGAAAAGGGTACAGCAAGGTATTAGCTGCTCTGCTCCAAGTACAAACTGTAAAATCGTGGCAAAATTCACCATCAGATCCAGTTACATAATTTCAGCATTGTTAGTTACCAAGCAGACTGTTTACTGTCAATAGCAATTGCTGCGATCTGTCGAGCATGCACAATGTCGGAAATCTAGGCTATATTACATTGTTCTAAAGTTGTCTTGATCTCTCTGGTGTTTAGACCACAGCTGATCACCCTTCAGGAGGAGCGATATACTCTTTGACTGTACATCTGTTCTGAAAAACAGCAGTTTCTTTGTGACTCATCATTACGCATCACTTGTCACTGATAATCTCTGAATTTGGTTTAATCTCTGTTAAATTCTATTTTACAATAAAGTAAACGCATGATAACTCGGTACTCCAAGAGGCTCAGTGATGAGTTATCTGGAGTGGAGAATTAGGCATATGTATTAATGCACAAGTAAATGAGGCCAGGATATTGACAGCATGATGATTTAAGTGGCAATGATAAGTTAACGGGGAGTTTACTGTACCTAAATGTGTTTCCTTGTAATTACCGTAGCCTCAGTCTGCAGTTGCAATTAATCTGATTCTGATTGCCTGCAAGTTAGATCCTATTCGTAAAGTTTTTCCTGAGTATTTTACTTCTGCCTTTATGTAACGCTTCTAGTATTGCAGTTTAAACAACAATATTATATTTGTTTAGCGCCTTTCACGTGAAAGGCACTATATAAATGTAATCTTGTTGTTGTTGCAGTTATACATGACTGGAAATTTCTAGTGATTAAATCTGTAATGCTGAACAATGCTCTTCAGGCGTCTTGAGAACAATGGATTTTCAATATGTTTCAATTGCTTATAGTTTCGGAAGAAACGTTTGACAACAAAAGTAAAAGTTTCATGAATCTGTACCTCGTAAAATATTTGATCAGAAAACTGAAAATTATTAGATCGCATATGATTAATGATTTACATATAAACTTGTTGTTTGGAATTGATGGGTAATTCTTGTCAAATTGGCACCAATGTGGGCAGTTGAGAAAAACAAAACTGCCGCCAAAACACAATGCACAAAAGAAAACAAATAAATTTGACAAAACAGCTTGTTTAATTGAACCTGTTGGCTTTTGTTGAATTGACATTGTTCGTGTTTAATTAGCCAAGTCTAGAAGCAGTCATCATGAAAAAGCAGTGAAGGATCCATTTGTAATGGAATCAGCAGCAAGTTGGCCTCAGGTGTCTGATCCTTTTCACAGCAAACCAAGTGGAGCCGGTAACTCTGGTAACTAGGACTCATAACTAAGCTATTACCAGAAAAGTGTGTAAGAAAGTGATTTTAAAGACAATGCAACAACAACGACTTGCACTTATATAGCACCCTCCCCGTCTCAGAGCTTAACAGTGGCGGAGCCTGACTCCAAACCGGGAGGTGGGTGACCATAAGCACGGGCGAAAAGGAAGATTTTCAGGCGGGACTTGAAAAAAGGGGAGAGAGGGGGCAAGGTGGAGGGATTGCGGCAGAGTGTTCCACAGTTTCGGGGCGTAGTTGCTGAAAGCATGACCTTCAATGATGGCGCGGAACAAATGGAGGCCAGTGTCAGTCGAGCGGAGGTGCCAGATGGTGGAGTGGGGAATGAGGAGTAGGGAGGTGCCAGCGAGAATGGATTTGAACACAAGTGTGAGGACAGTAGGAGTAATAGTGTGGAATCCAAATTGAATCACTGATGGAGTGTAATTGGCTGATCTGATTATGCAACACATTAAGGTTGGTGTGATTTCACTTCATATGAGCACATTTATAACCGAGTACCCTGTGATGCCTATATCCTATATGACTAGTGCTGGATAAATGCAAGTTGTTGTAATGCTTAGAATGCAGAATATTTTATTTCCAATCTCTTGTAGGCTTGTGAGCACATATGCAGAAAAAGCATATTACATTAACTAGTATAAATGCCTGCACTGTAAAATAGTTTTGATATGTTTCCTCTGTTCACAATTCTGTATTGAATCTACTGGCTTATGTGTGTGCTGTTTTAATAATTCTTAGTAAAGTGGCTGCATTGTTCGAAAAGGTGTTTGAAGTTAAGTTATTTGACAAGTTAAAAAGCTGTCTTTCCATCTTAGACTTTAGGTTTGACGATGACTTCAGTGAAATTCTGAGTCTTGAGAAGAAGAATCAACAGAATCAGACTCTAAGCAGCGGTGGATCTGTAGCAACATCCTCCCGCTCAGAGTGAGTTACAACACCATTGTCATTCATTGCGTAGGGTCATTCCGGACACAAGTTCCACTTTTGATAATCCTTTGCACAGAACCTAAGAAAGTCTTAACTGAAGCAATTTCATAGTTTGCTTCATTTCAGATATAATAATAATTTGGTCACTTAATCCACAACTGTTTGTGGGACACTGTTGTGCACAGTGGGCTGCACAGCTTATTATTTTTCAGAAGCTTTGACTCCACATCTGGTGAGAGAATAACCTTGTGTATTTGGTAATGTAGAGTAGTTTCTGAAAAGGATACTTCATGGAATGGACCGCCAAAAGTGACCAACACAATGCGGAAGCTGTTTGAGCCGAGTAATCAGTCTGGAAGCCGAGAAGGTCTGATTAAACACGGCCTTGCAAGACGCGAGAAAGAATATGTCAACATTCAGGACTTTAGGTTGGTATAATATTGTTTAATAGTTCCTTTAGGAGGTGGGTATGATATAAGGAAAGAGATTTGCAATTGATTACTTGTCTGGTAAGATTCATGTTCCTTCCTGTTGTTCGGCAAAGCTAATTGTGGCTACCTAAAGAGACCAGTGAATCTAGTTTGTCTGCACCCACTGTCTGTCCTATTTCCTGTTAATAGGATTGAATTACGGATATGGAATTTTTCTTGGCCTGGGCTCCATGTTAGAAATATGCTGTCATCCAATCTGGTGATTAATGGCAAGAGTCTTATATCTTTGGAGCTGCTCGAGTTGGTCTGGGCACACATGCAGATTGACTGTTAATGAATTTAACTTTAGGATGTTTAGCTTGGAAAGGGTTTGGATTTTTTCACATCAAAATAGGTGATTGTTGCAGCTCAATTTGCTGTTTGCTAGTGAGGTCTCTTCTCTCTCCTCCGAGCTTTCTAGGGAAGAAATAGATTTCAAGGAATGTAGATGGTGTAATAGACAAATTTAGTGAAAATTTGCTGATTTTTTTAAAAACAGGGACTAAATCACTTCAACCATTTCAATACATCAATTGTTTATTAAATAGTGAGTAAGCAGATTCCTTCTTCCCGCTCACTTAGCAACTCTTAGCAAGTGGGTTATCCAAGTCAAATAAAAGACAGATGTTGATGATTGGACTTGAGGTACAGATCAGCCATGATCTTATAAAATGGGAGAACCCGGTTGAGGAGCTGAATGGCCCACTCCTGTGTCTATGATTGTAAAATGGGGACAATGATCTGAACAAGGCTCTTAGAAAGCAATCGGATATTGAATGATTGTGGTGAGTCCCATTGTTAAAGCTCAGTATGGACATGGAAAGCTGAGCATTCATTCATGGTTTTGTATTCCAGGTGTTTTGTTGGTACATGGAATGTGAATGGACAGTCTCCAGATAGCAGTCTGGATCCCTGGCTTTCTTCTGACCCATTGCCACCTGATGTCTACTGTCTGGGGTAAGGTACCAGCAATGAAATTGACAGAACAAGTAGCATTTTTGTAGCATTTTTTGTTTGCATGTTTGGTCTCAATGTTTGATATTTTCCGCTTCTGCCTAATGTTTGTATGTTTGTTTTTTGTGACTGTTTGCTAAGGAAATTCTCCGTTACTATTGCTTCTTCTCATTGCTTTACAGCTTTCAGGAGTTAGATCTGAGCACGGAAGCATTTTTCTACTTTGATTCCTCCAAGGAGCAGGAATGGCTGGTTGCAACTGAAAAAAGTTTACACCACAAAGCCAAATACAGTAAAGTGAGTGAAGTGCATAAAGAAGAAGGAAACTCTTTGGGAAAGATGTTTTATTCCAAGTATTGGCTTCGGGAGAAATCATATATATTTTTTAAAAGTCTTATCACTGCGGGAACCTGGAGTCAAATTACCCTCCATACTTGGCTGCTCCAGTACATCACTAGTGTGAAAGGGAGACTCCACAAGCTTCTCCGCCCAACTTAATCCTTACTTCAACTTCTGATGAAAGCCACGGATTGAGGATAGACTTTTTCAATGTGCTTCTCTCCACCCTCCCTACCTCCCCTCCTCAAAAGCTTCAGATAATCCATAAGTTATTTTACTCACAAGGCTTTGCATGTCTATTACTCCTTTCCTCGCTGAGCTCCATTGGATTAAAGCATTACGTTTAAGACTTGGTCTTCAAAAACATCCATCTTTATCATCTTATTCTACTGATGTAATCTTCCTCAGCCCTATATCGCTATATGTGCCCTCTGCTCTTCTGACTGGTCTGTTACTCTCTCCCCACTCCCTTTGCTCCACTGTAGATGACATTATCATTGATAAATGGTTGCAAACTAATGACTTCCCATCTTCTTTGTTCTTTCTCTACCCCTTCTCCCCCCAACCAATATAATATAAATCTGCTTCATGTCATACTGCTAACTTTAAATGTAGTCTATTCCTCCTTTTGTGGATATAGATTTATCTGTTTGGTTGTAATTTCATAGGTGTTTTCCCAAATGATATTAAAAATTATACCTACTTTATTTTGTACTATCTGCAACATTCTAGTTGAAGCTGGTCCGGTTAGTTGGAATGATGCTGATCGTATTTGTTAGAAAGGAGCACCTGGTAAACATTAAAGAAGTGGAAGCTGAAACGGTGGGAACTGGAATCATGGGAAAGATGGTAAGAATTGAGTTAATTCCTAGCGCCAATACCAACCGTTTCAAAGTTGTACTTCTCGTTGTTGGTGGCAGAGCCTTCGTACTCTATGCCCGTGCTCTGCAACGCTCTTCCCACATTCCCCTTTGCTTTGTGTCTCTGTCCCTGCATGCAGAGAACCCTCAACAAACCCTATCTTTCTGATTGTGCTTTCGGTTGACACCCTTTCCTGTCTGCTCAGGGAATTCCCATTATCTTTGGGAGACGTTTGTAATTTGCCATCGCCAATTTAACCTCATTGGACAAATAAGTGAAAATTTATACAGATCTGTACATAGGTTCAAAGAAACGAGTAGGCCGTTCAGCCCCTCAAGCCTGTTCCACCATTTTATAAGATTATGGCTGATCTATACCTCAAGTCCAATTACCAGCCCTTGCCCCATATCCCTTAATAATCCGACTAACAAATATTTGTGATGACCTGTAGCTCAGAGGTTAGAGCACTCGCCTCGCAAGGAAGAGACCTGGGTTCAATTCCCGGTAGGGCGAAATGTTGGGGGAAAGTTTCCTTACTCCACATGCCTCTGTTTACCTAGCAGTAAGTAGGAACCCAGTTAGTCGATTGGCGGAACGCTTTTCCAGGGGCAATAATTCCTTCAAAAGAATAATAATAATAAATTGGCCACTTCAATACATGACTGTTTGTTGGGCACTGCTGTGCGCAATTGGCTGTCACCTTTCGGCCACAAAATATACAGTCAGTTCACTTTACAGTATAAAACCAGAAGTTGCTGGGAACACTCAGCAGGTCAGGCAGCATCTATGGAGAAAGGAAAGTGAGTCAATATTTCGGGTCTATGACCCTTCATTAGAACTGGGACATGTTGGGAGGGTGTGGTGTAAACTTTTTTAAGAGCTGACAGAGAGGAGGGAAGCAGGGCAAGGAAGACGAAGGAGAAAATGGGGTAGAGGACAGGGGATGATGGGTTAAGGAGGTGTTAATGATGCACACAAAGTGGGGGGGGTGAAAATTGCAACACAATAGGCAGCATACAGCATATGCTGTATTTTACGTTCACTGTACAGTATATTCTGTGAAGCACTTTGAGATGTCCTGATGTGATAAAGGGCTGTATCAAATGCAAGGGTTATTATTATTAATTTCTACCTCCCATCTTGAAAATGTGAATGGATCCAGCATCCACAGCCTTTTGGTGGAGAGAGTTCCAGATTTCCACTACCCTTTGGGTGAAAAACTGCCTCCTAATTTCACTCCTAAATGGCCTAGCTCTAATTTTAAGATTATACCCTTGATTTCTGGACTTCCCCACCAGAGGAAATAGTTTCTCTGTATCTACCCTATTGAACCCTGTTATTATTTTTAAAAAAACAATCCTTCTGAACTCAATGGAATAGATATCAAGTTTATGCAACCTGTCCTCGTATTCAATCCTTTAAAGCCCTGGTGTCATTCTGGTGAATCTGCGCTGCACCCCTACCAGATCCAATATATCCTGCCAGAGGTGTGGTGCCCAAAACCAAACTTTACTGTAACACATTCTCCTTGTTCCTAGCAGCATTGTACCACTGCATTGATCAAGCTCAATATTACATGAGAATCATCCCTGCTTAGGTACTATTTTGTCTCTGAGGCTTGAAGCTTTTATAAAAGATATTTGTTCTGCTTTTCTTTTTTTTTTTGAAGGCCTGGTAGGTTTTTCTCTAACTCAGTTGTCTGCTGAACTAATTCAGAGTGAGATCATCTAAGATAAATCTCTCTTCCACTACATGATTACAAACCTCGGGTGTTTTTTTTTTAAAAAATGCATGAGTGAGGGAGTGTGTGTGTGAGTGACTGTGACTAGTCTTATTTGGCATTAGACAAGATGAGCCTAGTTTATATGTGTTTGTCTCTTAAGGGTAATAAAGGTGGAGTGGCAATCCGGTTTGTCTTTCACAACACCAGTTTCTGTATTGTAAACTCTCACTTGGCTGCTCACGTGGAGGACTTTGAAAGACGAAATCAAGATTACAAAGATATCTGTGCTCGCATGATTTTCCAGGTGTGCGGCGAGCAGAAGCAACCCTGTATAAACATTATTAAACACGAGTAAGTATGAAAATACTTTCACACGAAGGATAGTGGAAATCTAAAAAAGCTGAGGATGCTGGATCAATTAAAATTTTCAAGACTTGGGTTGATACATTTTTTGTTAGATTTCAAGGGATATCTTGTAAATAGAGTTGAGATTCAGATCAGCCATGATCTATTAGAATGCCAGAACTGGCTCGACTGGCTGAATGTTCCTATGTTCCTAAAATGGCTTGTGCAACAACAATTTGCATTGAGATAGTGCCTTTCATGTTACAAGAACAAATCAAAGTGTTTTACACAACTGACTGGACACCTGAGCGGGGATGGGGCATGAGAGGAGAGAAAGAGACGATGGCTGAAAGCACAGTTGAAGAGACTGGTCTTCAGGCACACTTTAGAAGTGGGGAGGGAGGGTGGGACAGAGTGGGTGAGGAGCACAAACCAAGCCACTGTTTGCTGAGCAGAGGGAGTGATTGGGTCAGTAATATTAGAGGAGGTCATAGAGGTAGGATGGGGCAAGGCGGTGGAGGCATTTGAAGTGAGGGCAAGGATCTTGAGTTTGATCTGCTAGAGGATGGGGAGACTGTGAAGGTGTACTAAATATGTGAATCTTTCTTACGTGACTCTTTATATTATATGTCCCAGTGTTGTTGTTTGGCTTGGAGATCTAAACTACAGACTCTGTGCTCTCGATGCTAATGAGGTGAAGAGTTTGATAGAAAGGAAAGAATTAAAAAAACTCTTGGAATATGATCAGGTGGGTAAAGTTATTGTTTTGATTCTGTTTTTATTCAGAAGTCTGCTCATTGTTTCTTTTCTATAGGCTGTACTCACCATGTGAATGTGTACAGACAATGTTAATGAATCTGCTTGGCTGCTGACACAGTTTGATTTGAATGTAAAATTCACAAAAACTCCTTGTTGTGCTGTGTTCTTAGGCTCTTTTATGTGCCTTATCCCATGAAAGAAACAAACTAAGATACGTGGAAACTCAAACGTGTTTGTAACTGATCAGTTGTGATACCTGCAGTTTATACCAAGGCTTATATATAAACACTTGTAGTTTATTGCCACTGCTCTTGTATTTTACCCCTTTCTATCCTCAGAAGTGCCAATAGTTAATGTTCGGAAAATAGTAAAGTAGCATACAAATTTACATTTCACGTTGGGAGGACATCCCAAAGCACTTGACAAACTTCGGAACATTTCATGCAAAGTTAGAACATTGGTCCATCATGCAATTCCATTTTTTAAAAAAAACATTTTATTATCTCTCATTGCACCACTTGTCCTTGAACCTGGGAACTGCTTATTAAAATGTCTTCATATTTGCATGTGTGATTGTTTTCTATTTTTGTGTCTTTAGCTGAATATTCAGCGGATGAATAAAAAAGCCTTTTCAGATTTCAGTGAGGGGGACATCCATTTTAAACCAACATACAAATATGACACTAAATCAGACCGATGGGATTCGAGGTAAAGAATCAGACTCTTCGTGTTTTTTTGTCTCTGGTTTCAGTGCTTGTAGTCAAGGCTGAATAAAGTTGATTAAACTACTATGAATCCTTTTAGCAAACTCCCTGAATAATAATCCTTGCATTTGATACAGAGCCTTATCGCATCGTTGAGACATCTCAAAGCGCTTCACAAAATATACTGTTAAGTGAATTGAGTAGATTTTGCTTAATACCTGGAGGATATGGAATGAAATATATTGAGCAGTTTTATTTTACGAGGTAATGTCTCCTTTGGCAGTGGGAAGTGCCGCGTACCAGCATGGTGTGACCGTGTGCTCTGGCGAGGGGAAGGTGTAAAGCAAAAAAGTTATCGAAGTCACATGGAGCTTCGCACCAGCGATCACAAGCCTGTCAGTTCTGTCCTACTTACTGGGGTATGTGTTAAGAGATCAGGCCACGCGTGTTAACTTGTCACTTTTGTTTGTTCACTGGCTCGAGTGGAAGTTCATTCTATTGAGATTAAACGCAAGAATTCTCCAAGGCACACAATTAAAAGTTTCAACAACATATATTTATTATATGCCTTGTTCTCTTTTGCACATTACAACTAACAAAATGTCCGCACTTACGTGTCGTTCAGAGCTTTAACAAGCAACAGCACAGTACCTCAGGAGAATTTGGTTTTCGGCTGCCGGGAGCCAGAGTCGGCCACTCACAAGATCACAACGCTCTCTGGAGCTTCGTCCCTAAGACTCCTGGCTTTTACCTTTTGCTTGGCCCTTACATAGTGTCAGCATAGGAGGCGGTTTGAGCTATCTGTCTTTCTTGAATGCTCAGTATGCCTTCTAGATGTTTTTTTTACTTAAACGTATCATACTTATCTCTCTAGCTTTGTGGTTTATCTTCCTAGGAATTACCTCACTAAATGGTTCGTTCTTCTAAGTACAGTGGAAGCCATTTAAACCGGATGCCAGTTAACCCCGGATGCCGGATAAATCGAACAAAACGCCCCACCCTGATTTATTTGTATTCTCGCCTAATTAAATATGCTGATTAATCGAGACAAAAAAAATTCCAATGTGTCCATTTTAAGTGGCTTTGACTGTATTTGTCTTAATAAGCGTGATCTAGTTTCCTGTTTTCAAGCTTATGTTTTCAGTTTATATCTTTTAGCATATTATCTTGTCTCTTTATCAATGTCGTTAGTCTCAGACATGTCTAGCATATTTACTGCTTGCTCTGCTTTTTAACTCATCTACTCTAGCCTTCACACGTGGTCAGGTGGTCTATCATTTCCGCTGCGCTTTAACTACATGTTTATTCAACAAAAATTTCAGAGGCAATTGTTGTTAACTTGTTTCATTTTGTCCTAGGTGAAAGTGGTAGATGAGCGCAGGTACAAGAAGGTGTTTGAAGATATTGTGCGAGTGATGGACCGAATGGAGAATGAGTTCTTGCCTTCTTTGTTTCTTAGCAAAAGAGAAGTAAGTGCATGGCTACCATCACATTTGACCATTTACGAACTTTGTTCATTTTCAGGTTACTTGCACTTGCGACTGAATTAAGTATTAATTACTGTGAAGGAAGCAAATCACAATCCTTGCATTTAATATAGCCTCTTTCATGTCAGGAGAATATCTCCAAGCGCTTCACATGATTGCACTGCGAAGTATAGTGACTGTATTTCTTAAAAATACAGTAATTGAATTACAGCTGGAAAACATGAAAATTGCTAGGAATAAATTGTTTTTGTTGTTGTTTGTCTTTTCAAATATGTAGAACAATAATTGATCTGCCACTGACAGAGATGTTTGAGTAAGTTGTGTGTTTTTTTTCCCCCCTTTAATCGCAGTTTGAGTTTGCGAATGTTAAATTCCGGCAGCTGCAGAGGGAAAAGTTCCAGATCACGAATGATGGGCAGGTGCCATGTCACTTCTCCTTCATTCCCAAACTCAATGACTCCCAGTACAGCAAGCTGTGGCTACGAGCAGAGCCCTGCGAGGGATTTCTGGAACCTAGTGAGTGACGTGAGAAAATGGCCATTACTTAGTATCTTAGCAGTGCTATTACATTTGGGGTGTTCGTACCAAACTTCTATCAGTACAGGACTTTGGTCACCAAGGCTGAGCAGTGGAAGTTTTAACTAATCATTGCGCTGTTGATGAATCTCCGAACTAAAGATTTGATTAGCCCCACGATAAGCTATAAAGTTTATTTGGTACCACCTGAATAATCTTTGTTTTCAATACAGCAGGCAAAATGATTGGCGTAGTCGGGTAGAAAATGATTCTAGTTACAGTATTATTCCGCAAGTTATACCCCTCCAGGCTTGAGTAGCACAGTGTGTAAAATGGTCTTCAAATTGGAGCGAGTTTCAATGATTGTGATTGATTCTGATTATCATAAACAGCCAAAGGAAATGCCAGCTACTTTAAACCTTTCAACCCTGAGATTATGCTTTAATTTGAATAAGTTGCGCATGGTAACCCCAGAATGGAGAGTGCCACAGACATTTGTGCAGGGAGATTCATCTGTGATACGACATAAATGATCAACTGAATGGTAAAGCCATTCAAAACCCATATTACATACTGTATACATATATATGGTTGCAAAGTTAAGTGATTCTTTATATGGACTGTTCCAACAAATAACAATTGATGGCGCAGACCTGAATACACTTATTTTTCTTTCAGGTGAGTGTATAGATATATCTCTCGAAGTTTATGTGAGTAAGGACTCTGTAACAATGTTGAACTCGGGGGAGGATAAGATCGAGGACATCTTGGTTTTGCACCTGGACCGCGGGAAGGATTATTTCATTACAATTGGCGGGAACTACTTGCCAAGCTGTTTTGGTACATCGCTGGAAACACTGTGTCGAATGAAGAAACCCATCAGGGAAGTGCCTGTCACCAAGCTCATCGATCTGGTAAGAGTTAGATTAATTACATAGAATATACAGCACAGAAACGGACCATTCGGCCCAACTGGTCTATGCCGATGTTTATGCTCCACATAAGCCTCCTCCTACCCTTCCTCAAGTAATCCTATCATAATCTTCTATTGAACATAGATCTGGTAAGGGTAAGTGTACTAAACTCAATTTTAACACCAAACTCAAATCTACATCAGTATTACATTTCCCCTGTTAACTTGAATATTTGAAACCACATTCCTCCTCCCCCCGTTAAAAAAATGCCATTTTTAAATTTGTTTGAAGTTAAATGAAACACTGTACTATTTAGTGTTATCTTGTAAAAAGCATTGCTGAGTTATTTTCTCCCTATCACACACTCCCCAACCCCAAACTTTACAGTCTTGTTGATGCTTTTTGGCTATATGTAAGTGGCATCTGTAAGGTGAAGCTATAGCTGCTAGATTTGGAACAATTATGGCTGCCTTTTGTGTCGCTCGAAATAGTTAATGTCTTCTTTCGTTTTTACTTGCACTCTGTCTGCATTTTTGCTCATAATGCATAATGATGCTTCTCATAATTTACTAATTACTCAAAGATACCTGCTAAGGCTTCTGCTGCTGCAAAATTGTGTGCGTAGCATAAACATTGTAAAGGATTGTGCACAAAAGCATAAAATAATTATTTTTTAATTCATCTCTGTGCTGATATTTCTTTGATTTTGTTCCAGAAAGTTATCTTCTCTCTGACTAACACTCTTCTTTTCCTCTCTATCTTTCGGGCCTGTTCAGGATGATGACAGCATGTTTCAAAAGGTAATCGTACCTTTACAAAGTGTTGCACTAATACTACATCTGATCTTTTTTGCAGTGTCTGTACTTTATAATAACAATATATCTTCATATTGCACCAGGATTAAATTAAATTATATAATTTACATATTTATTATGTACAGAATGACTGGACATATGAAATAATAATAATCCTTGCATTTCATATAGCGCCTTATCACATCTTCAAGACGTCTCAAAGCGCTTCACAGATTATACTGTAAAATGAATTGACTATCTGTTCAGGAAATGCTTATTTGATTTTTGTTTTGTTAATCAGGGATTGAAGATGATCCATTTTTTTTTCGTATTTTAGCTGCTGTAGGTAGTTTTGGTATCTCAGGCTAATGCAATCTACAGTTCATACAGTCGAGTTCACGTAATAAGTCGCCTATTGTTATAACCTGTATAATGTTACACTGGTGGCCAGTACTGCTGTGCTCAATATGTTGTGTACACATTTGAGTTCACATTCTAGCTGTTGTAGCATTGCTCCGGCACCTGGAATCCAGAATGGTGACAGGAGGATGGGCTAATGAAAGCATGAAATGTGTTGATGGACAGGCAGATGGTCCCAAGATAGCGGGGAGCAGGTTGACGGAAGGCCATTGAGACGAGGCTGTATAGAATATTAGCACCCATTGTGGAAGTTGTTATTTTTGTGATTCAATTTTTGAAGAAAAAACAGTCAAAATTAAACTGATTTTATTTTTTAAAAATACCTGTTAGGTTCAATTAAATATTAGATTTTTAATATTTTCTACTTATCCTCGCAATTGCAAATGCTTTCATAACAGCCAGAAGTGTTTGCAAGTGTTTATACGGTAAGTTCCCCTATTGTTATAATATGTATAATGTTATAATTTTGTCTGGTCCGACAGAGTATAACATTAAGCAAACTTGATTGTATGTTGTGATTTGCAAACAAGTGGGCGATTACGGTAATGTTCCTCTGGAATCCTGCTTTTACATTCTATTTGCTTTGCAATGAAATGCCCTTTAAGTTATGTAACTTTTATTTAAAATCAATAATTGCATTTGGGATGCCCAGCTGATTATTTAATACAGGTATTACAATGATTTATCAATTTAAGCTATTAGTATATTGTTAATATGTCCTAGTAGGGAATACATGAAATGAATGGTCAAAATGACGGAATGAATGAAATAGACTGGTATTCTGAATGTGTAAACGCATTACTTTTTAATCTCCCATCAGAAAATCTGGAAAGAAATGAGGATTGTGAGTGCAGCATTATACTGTGTTAATCCATTAATGATTCATTCAAGGCGCACTGAATCTTTTATTTGAATTTCATAGCTTTTAAAAATTGGTGCAATCTAAAATGTTTGTTGAAATTCAGCTGTTTACGCTTTCTTTGTGTGTTTTTGGTTTGCAGAGTGTTGTGCATGGCGGCATGTTATTAATTTATAGAAATTAATATTAATGTCTGCTGTTAACTATGTTCCTCACTGTCAAATCTATATTGTCCTTGCACAGAATACAAGCTGTTACTAGCAAGATCAGCCATTCATTACCACAATATATCTACAGACTTATAACTAAAACACCTAACTATATTTTATGGATGATACTGGTACAATTATCTGAAAACTGAGCATTTTTTTCAGAAACTATTTAGATTTTGTGAAACATTTGACCTGTATCATATTTATTAAGAAGATGGTATGAAAATACTGTGAGGTAGCACTATTTTATCAACAGCAGTTCAGCTTCTGGTTTAGATTAAAAATGGACAACATAGATCAGAAATGGCACGTCAAAGGATTTCTCTCTTCCCAAACCATTCGTTCACCTGCCGTTTCAATCGCTTGCTGTGATTAATAGGAGAAATCCCGGCTGGAGCTCTTCCCAATGGATAATATAGAATCTGATGATAAACCCCTGCAAATTCCAAAGGAAATGTGGTTGTTGGTGGATCATCTCTTTAAAAATGCATGTCGACAGGTAAAGTATTTAACCTTTTCTTTTCACCCAAGCAATTCTTACACAGCTTCCAACTAGAACAACGTTCTGCTAACAGAGTATAATATTGTATTAAATACTCCATATTAAACAAGCCTTATCCTATAGTGTGCAAATCGCCTTAGTTTCTTTTGTATGTTTTATTATTTACGGGCTATTATGATTTTACTCCTATATAATTGACTATTTTGCAGGGTTCCCTGCCTTGTAGGAATGTGGTATGAAGTCTTGTCATCTTTAAATGGAAGAGTTGAAATGTAAATTGTTTTGAATGCAAGGAATATCACTAGAGTTTGTAACTCATTCTCGTTGCTATACCTGCAGGAGGACCTGTTCCAGACGCCTGGTTTGCAGGAGGAACTTCAGCAAATATTTGACTGCTTGGACACAAGCATTCCACAAAGTATTCGTATCCTTCACATTATGATGTAACCATCACACAGAAGCCAACAGATCTAGGCCCTGGTGCAGCTTTTTATAAAAAGCTTACTTTGTGCTTCTCCCTTAGATTCTGATTGACTGTAGTTCTTGGCCTGTAACCAAGCTGGTATTAAAGCCGTTTTGATTCATTATGATTTTCATCATCCAGTTTAATGTGTGATGGAAAGCATATTTGTGTTTTCTGTGAGATGACAGATGTCGTTTGGCACTCCAGATCAATGCGTGTTGGCTTTTCCTTAATTCCCCTGTTAGCTGGCAGTAACCACTCCATGGCTGAAGCTCTGCTCATCTTCCTAGAGGCCCTCCCAGAGCCTGTGATATGTTACGAATTACATATGAAATGCCTAGAATGTTCAATGGACCTGCGGATCTGTAAGCAGGTAAGTGGTCTGCAGTAAAGTCGTAAAACAAATTCATCCAATCGTCCGTGAAACATGTCTGGAGCGTTATTTCATCACGTCGAGCTGCTTTTATGAAACAATTTTTAAATTGTTACACTTTCTTTCTCCCACCCCCCCCCCTCCAGTTAGTAGCACAACTACCCCGATGTCACAGAAATGTGTTTAAGTATTTGATGGCATTTCTGCAGGAATTATTGAAGTATACAGAAGACAACAAGCTCGATGCTAAGATGCTAGGTAAGCGAACAAGTTTTGTTTTACATTTTTACGTCTTTTTAGAGCGCCATTAGGCTTATTCATAGCCTGAATCCTGAATCGTTTTCACAGCATTGTGCTGAAAATTCACCTTTGCTCCGTATACAAAACACCAGCATGACGTTTGCGTTTCTGGCAACATCTGCCAGAACAGGAACACTGCTGATTTAAGTTCAAACTTGGAGGCTCTTCAGCCTACCCCTCGCCCGTAGATTTCAAACTTAAATATCCATAGCACTAATTTGAGATGAGTTGAGAAATCCTCTGTAATATGTCAAGAAGAAAATGCTCAAATGGCCTGAGCGTGGCATGGAAACTTGGCAGGGAAAGATGCAGGTTTGGGTGCCGGTCTCAGATCTGATATTGAATCAAGCACAATTACAGTTACTTGAAGACACACTTTTGAGCAATAAGGTGGGTTTTTTTTGGGTTGTGGGGATCAAAGAGGAGACACTCTAGTTATTAACTTGACCTCTGATCCTTTTTTCATCAGTTTACATTAATAGCTTTTTTTTTATTTGTACCCTTCTGAGTAAATCATGAAATTTTCAAAAAAAAATCTGTTAATCCGCTTGCTTTTGAAGATGATGTATCTGTTTATTTTTCTCTACCCTGTCCCCTGTAGCCACCCTCTTTGCAAGTCTGCTGTTGAGGCCACCTCCAAACTTACTTGGGAAGCAGACCCAGAGTGATCGTCAGCGTGCCATGAGCTTCATCTTTGGCTTCCTCAATAGCGGAGTGGATGAATGGGATAATACTTTTATTGCACTGTGACAGTAGCTGCAAATGATGTGTTCAGTGGTGATCGAATGATACGAAAACTCGCCCATCTGGGTTCACAGCACATTCCAAAAGTGCAGCGCGGGGTGGGGTGGGGGGTAGGTGGAAGTAGACTTTGTCTTTAATTATTTTACAACCTGCATGGACCAGTTCAATTTTGTACGTCTAAAACTGGTGTTTCATACCATTGCAATATTTCAAACCGTTTGTATATTTTTATTGTTTGCTGGAAGTTTGGACTGTGTGAATGGTGGCAGCTCCTATACGATTTCCATGATTTGCTGTAAGCATGCCCCTCACATGATTACCTAACATGGAGATCTCCAGAAGCCCTTCCTTGTCTAAATGTTCAGAATTAATTATGCTGGAGGGAAAGATCAACCTTGATCTCTGGAGTCCATGTTTGCCGCTGGTGACTACAGTGACTGGAATTCATTCGACAGCCTATATGAGACATCACTGAATTCTCTGGGGACACTGGAGGCTTAAAGGATGTGTTCCATTCTAATTATTATTGCAGACAAGTCATTCATTCTCAGTCAATTCAACCAATATCGGGAGCACTTACGTAATTGAGGAAAGTTGCTTTTGCCACAAATTGGAGTCAACAGGTTTGTGGGCATAAGGCAACCCGTTTTATTTTCTGCACATATCACAAGCTTTGTATAGCTTACTTTTTTTTTCCAATTTATTCCCCTGATTTCTATTCGACAAATTATATAATCGTATGCAATTAGACGAATAACAAAGTTTAACGATTTTGTTTGATAATCCGTATTTCAGTTATTTCAAAAGCAGAAAACTTGATTTCCCGAGAACCAAAGAAAATGAATTGGTGTTACCCCAACCTCCAAAATCCAGAGGTTTTACAGTCTTGGCAGAATTATTGCATTAAAGCCAGTTTATAGAATCATCCCTGATCGACATATAACCAATTATGTAACATATTACTGATTGTGTTCGCACTTGTTCTTCAACAAGTGTTTTAAATTTGAATATGACTATTTAGGATGGAAAGGACTGTCTTGCTGCACATTCCAGGGCTTACTGTTATGGCTGCACATGTTTCAGTGACTTCAGTGAGATTTGGTATTCAGTCACTCATGGGGCCATTTTCATTCCTTTTAGTAGCGATTCTGATACCAGCAGCATTTTTCACTTCTGCATAAACTTAGTGTGTGATGGATGTGATCTTGTATGTTTGTTTCAGTCTAATTAGGATAGAGTTGATCGTTGAAATCCTACAGTTGTTAAAGCAAGTTGTCAGGCACACTTTACTGACTCTTTACCCCCCCCACCACCAATCACCACCAACAAACTAGTCAATTTTCTCTTTGCTGAAGCGAGGAAAGAGGACAGGGTAGTTTTCTGGCAGACCTCAACCCATATACCCGTTAGCAGCCACTCGAGGCCCAAGATACCCGTTCCTACAAACGTGGCATCCCATTTGATTTTATGTCCACTTAAAAAGACACTACAGCCTCCACTCAGAATTAGTTTATGCAACCCAGTGGATTGGAGGATCAAATATGCTCCATCTGCTGTTTGGCATTGACATTGGAGCTAAGAGTTGGTGCCATTATGCTACCCAACCAAGCCTTAATACGTTGTTAGCGATTGTTCTCAACCTTTGTTTTTGTCTATATTTTACTGCGTTATCAGCAACAGCGTGTCATTTAATAAATGGTACTTTTCCAAATTTATTTAAAGTTTGAATCTGAAATCCATCACTACCCTCCTATCTCACTGAGAGTGTGCTTTTTTTTCATAGCCCGTTACCATTGTGATCATTTCTCTTCAGCAGGTTTATCTCTAATATAGTGTGTCTCAGAAGCTTCATTGCACATAATGCTACAGAGTACCTTGGCGTTTTTAAGTGTAGTCATTCCAGGAGTCGCAGATTACATGCATTAGTTGAGTCAGTGGATAATACCTGGGTTGAGGATGGGTAAGATGGGGGTAAAGCTTAGTTATGGCTCGCTTGTATCAAATCGCCCAGCTTCACGTATATAATGAAATTCAGATTTTAGGCCTGTAGTTTTCACACAGCTCAAGGTTCGAGATTACATGTCATCGGCAGGTAGAAGTCGCCTTTCTCCAAGAACATTATAGAGAGGAATTTCTTCATATATGTTTAAGACCAAGAAAAGTGCTGTGGGGGCTGCAGGAAAGGAGACTGACCGCTATGATTTCTGTCTAGTGTGCTCTGTTGACAACAAGTGCACTTTTATTGATGTCACTTGCATCAGTTTGATCGTCCCCCAGGCTTTTTGTATCAAAAAAATGTTATCACCCACTTTGCAGAGAGAGTACATATATTCTACAACCAGACTTTAATACATTGAAATAGAATTGGCGTTTTGTGTTTACAAATTGTGGTGGGGGGTTGGGGGGCGGGAGTGAAATTCATTTGAAAGACAATCCCTACTTCGATTTGATCAGAATGGTTCACGTGGTAGGAATTAATATTTCTGTTTTTGACTGCGGCATTTTTTTTGTTCAGTGAATAGTTGTCCACAGGATTATGACCCTACAAATATGTATTTTAATATAGCAAAGTTAATGGTTAGAATCTACATTTTAAAGATGACTAAATAATCAGAACTTGGTGTTGTGCTGAAAGTGTCTGTCACCTTGTAGGCTGGCAAAATGACTTCTGCTTCAGTTTCCACCTGTTGTAAGCACTGGGAGCAAAACACATTGACAGTGACAGCTTCCTTGTCATTGTCTGAGCATAGTAGCCAACAGCTGATACTTGGTACATGGATATTCATTGTAAATGAAACTGTTCTGTAGGTGCTATGATAGTGATGTAAACGTTGCTTGTACTGCTTTTATGCATTTTATTTTCCATTTGTAATGGTAATTTATTGATACATTGATTAAATTTTATGAAGAAGTGAATTGATGTTTCTTTTTCATTGTATTTGGATTATGGGCCATGCATCCTCTGTGTATCTTAAAATCCCTTCTAGCATAGCTCCGTGATACAGAATTGAAACAGGATCTCGTGACTGTGAGTAGAATTTACACTATTGAAGGAGATTAAATTTGTTGTCGATATTTTTATTTAAAAAAAATGATTTTGGATTAAAACAACAATGTAGATAAAGGCGGTCAGTTATGGTGTTTATACATCACTAAATGGCTAAAAGTGACTTTTTTATTGCAACATATCAATCACGTATTTATCAATACGTCTGATAATCCTTCAAAAAAAATAGTAAAATTGGTCACTTTAATCCACGACTGTTTATGGGAAACTGCTCTGTGCAATTGGCTGCTGCGTTTCACCCACAAATATACAGTCAATTCACTTTACAGTCTTCTGTGAAGCGCTTCGAAATGTCTAGAAGAGGTGAAAAGGCGTTATTTCAAATGCAAGGATTATTACGTGATCAATACTTTGAGAAACATGGCAATAGCCGGTCTGGTCAGTGTTATAATAATATAATAATATTTGATATTATTGGATTTTATATAGCACATTATCAAGTCTTCGAGATGGCTCAAAAAGCATTTCACGAAATATATTGTAAAGTGAATTGACTATATTTTGGGTGAAACGTGGCAGCCAATTGCACACAGTACTGTCCCACAAACAATCATGGGTTGAGTGACCCTTTAAGGGTTTATTACTCCCGGAAAAGTGATCTACCAATCGAAGTAACAACCGGGTACCTACCATTTATTTCTAGATCCCTTGCAGCCTTTTCACACCTTTCCTTTTGGCTTGTTCTACAGATTTCTTAAGATTCTTTGGAAGCTTTTTTAATGCTAGGTAAACAAGTGTGTGGAGTAAGGAAACTTGCCCAACTTTTCGTCCTGCCCGGGAATCGAACCCATGTCCTCTTGCTTGCGAGGCAAGTGCTCTAACCACCAAACTACAAGAGTTAGCTGCAGTACGCTGCTCATTATATTGTCACTGTTACTAAATGGAAGCATAAGGCGAAGTGGTAAAATGAAGCACACAGAATGAACACCTTGACAACTCACACAGTAATGATGTTAAGAGAAAGCTTCTAAAGAATCTTAAGAAATCTGTAGACCAACCCAAGAGGAAAGGAGGTGTGAAAAGGCTGTAAGGAATCCAGAAATAAATCAGTGGCACAAGTAAAAATGTACTTGATCATCCAATGCAATTGTATACATGTCTGAATCCATTTGGGAAAGAATGTTCTTTTTAAACCTGATCCTTTTCCAGATAAACTGCAATATGAATAAAGGAGAGAATGCGTACACAGTGGCCAACAGTGAGTTGAAACATCGATGATGATCATCACATCTCAATTTGCCGCCAATCAACTAGTTTATGTTGCATATATTTAACAATAGCAAAGCTCAAATGTTTCATTAATATTTTATGTAATTCTCTTCTGGGTATTTTAAAATATATATATATATATATAGACTTGTTGATGATATATCCGGTCTCAGCAGTGCAGCTGGGTGGCTCTGTTCTTTGACACTTTGTGATGACAGACAATAGCTGTGTTGTGATGGTGAGAAAGACAAACTATTAAATGACATGGTGAATGGACATGAAATACTTTGGATTCACTCTTGAATGAATGTGTTTGTGCTGACTCTGGTACTTAGATCCAATCAAACAATTGATTAGGTGCAATATGGCTTTAATCCTATCAAATTACAGAACATTAACGGCAGGAACCAGCTGAACAACATTTCCACAATTCCAATCGCCTATATTCGCAATTAAAAGCAGCAAGAAATTGTGCAGCAGGGTAAAGTCACTGATGTTTTAGTGAAGCGAACATTGGGGTCACTTCACAGCAATGCAACTATTATTAAGCTGACGTTTGGTTCAAAGTGAATATTAGAGTTTTTGTTGCAATCTTTTAACAATGTCGGTTAGTGGACCAATGGAACAGAAAAGGTTTTAAGAACAAGTATAGGCTATTACACCCCTCAAGTCTACTTTCTGATTCCTCTTTGAACTTATTTATGCTCTCAATTTCAGTGGCTCGTCCTGCGAACTGAGTCTGCTTATTATTCTTCAAGAGTCAAAAACTTCCATCTGGCCTCCCTCCTCGCTAATTCCCTCCTTACTCCTAAATGCAAAGATTATAAAAACCCCAATTTAAACTTGTCCCTGTTGTGTTTGAACCCTTTCATTTTCCAAGATCAATTGGTCAAACGTGTTATTTTGATGTAGGATATTTTTTTCTTTCAGAAGCTCATTGGTATAACAGCTAAAAGTGAACATGGTGCCATTTAGAGTCACACAAGAGGACCTTAGTATAAAAGATTTGGATTATTTACACGCTGCGCACCATGTCTTAATTATAAAGAAAAAATAAATGGTCAAAGAGGCAAAAATATAGTGGAGGAAGAATGAAAGAAACACAAAGGGCAAGGCATTTTGCAGGTCAGACCATTTACCTATAGTGGCACAGTGCTTTCCTCATTATAAGCATACAATATCGGTATTGATAAGTTTATTGACCAGCAGGAAATAATACCTAACCTGTGGAGAAGAAATCAGAAATACAAAGCAGGAAAGGTCTGGGAAGAGAGAAGCAATTCATTTTTATATTAAAAACAAGGGATGTTTTTAAATAGAAGGGAAAACTATTTTAAAAAATTCACTAATTTGAAGTGAATGCTTTATGGCTGAAGGAAAAGAAATGAGAAAACTTGAGAGAAGCACATATACCCAGGAGATGGCAGCACTGTGCAGTATTAGAGCGAACCTCACCATATGGTGTGTTTGTTGCACATTCACCATCACTGAGAAACTGAAAACCTCTTTAGAAACTTACTCCTGCCCTTTGCCATATAATCCTACCCTCATCCTTCACCTGGAATGCTGGTTATGGTTTGGGATGGCGTATGGGCTGGATTCTTTATTCAGCCACATTTCATTGTCGCCTTGTTCCTTTTGCTCCACTCTCTCTATCATCACAGCGGCCACCTGGGGGCTGAAGATGTTGTCCGAGGTCCTGTATTGCCTGGTCAGCTGTCGGAATGAGGTGTCTGAGGAGTCGTCGTCATCGTCATCTCGAATCTTGGTAAGTCCATCTTCAGAACCTTGGTTGTCATCGTCCGGCTCACTGCAGAGCTTCCTGATGTCTCTTAGCACTGCCATGTGGAATCCAAACGTGCAGAGGATCAAGACTAAGCCAATGGACACCCCAGACACAAAGTACAAGGCTACCTTCTCTGGGAGACCTGAAGTGAGAGAGATCACACACGTCAAGAAGCAGCATCTATAATAAAGCATAATAGTAATAATACTTGTATTTGATATAGCGCCTTATCGCGTCTTCGAGACGTCACAAAGCGCTTCACAGAATATACTGTTACTGTGGATTGATGAATTGACTATATTCTATGGGCGAAACCCAGCAGCCAATTGCGCACAGCAGTGTCCCATGAGCATAGGTGGATTGAGTGACCACATTATTTTTATTTATTTTGAAAGAATCTTTACCCCCGGAAAAATGATCTGCCAATCAACTAACAACCAGGTTCCTACTTAGTCCTAGGTAAACAGAGTCTTGTGGAATAAGGAAACTTGCCCAATGTTTCACCCTGCTAGGAATCGAACCCAGGTCCTCTCACTTGCAAGGTGAATGCTCCAGCCACTAAGCTACAGGAATTTTGGTAGGGCATTCCATGTCCTAATAAACTGATTATATCATCATAATATAAAAAAAACCTGCAAATCTCTCCCTTTGGTTTTTGGTGAAAATCTTAAGTGTTATGGCCTCTATTCACTGATCATAGTCTCTCGTGTGATAGTCATTCCAAAAACAACTTAAATCATAGTGACAAATTATAATTACATTGAAGTCCACTGTCAAATTTTGTAGGCATTTTGTGTTGGGCAGAACATTGGAAAACATTGGCCAGTCAGCCCATTAAGCCTGTTCCCCCACAATAAACTATGGTGCAGGACAGTGTTAGAAGGTTAAAGTGAAACAGTAAAATTCTTGCATTCTCAACGTGGATCAATTGATACCATTTGTAGAACGTGTTTAGTGTTACATTATGAAACGCATGTTGGAAAGACGTGGAAACATACCCCTAATGTGGGCAAGAGTGGCCCAAGAACTGCTAACAATCATGATGGCATCTTTTGCATGAAGCCTCGACATTCTTGGGCCGTTATACCAGCCACCTGCAGCACATAAGGTACAGCCTTACTGAAAGCATGTTTCATCTGGACTTTATTGTTGGTCAGCTGGGTGTCTGACACATGAGGAAACTCCTCACTGTGCTTAGTAGTGTCCAACCCGACAGAGTTCTACATATGGCACCTGCACGTGGAGATTTCCCTGCATCTGGTATGGTGTGCTGCTCTCTCTCTCTCTCCCTGGACAGAAGCACCCCTTTACCTACTTCCAGAAAGTCTTGGGTGTGAGTTTGTGAGAGCCAAGGCTTGGGACCCCAAATTGTGTGCACGATAATATTTCAGGGTGCATTGTTGTAGTGTGGATAATAGTATTTATATAGAGTTACATGGAGTGAAACAGCATGGAAACAGGCCATTCAACCCAACTAGTCCGTGCTGGTGGTTATATTACGCCCAAGACCCCATCCCTTCCATTTCCCCTCTCCTATATCTAGGAACATAGGAACAGAACTTGGCCATTAAGCCCCTTGAGCCAGTTCCACCATTCTGTAAGATGATGGCTGATCTGTACTTCAACTCCAATTACCCGCCCTTGCCCCACATCCCTTGATGCCCTTACCTAACAGAAATAATCTCTCAGTTCCCTTCTCCCTTATGTATCCATCATGTTTTTTCTGAAATGCATTGCTGTTTTTTGCTTGAACCACAGCTTCCAGCTGTGAGTTGAACATTCTGACCACCCTGTGTGAAGAAGTTCCTCTTAAACTTTCTATTAGACCAACTATCACATCTATGTCCTCTCATATTTTCTGGTTTCTTTGACACTTACCAACAAGTGGAGACAGCCTATGAACATCTAACCTATCTTTAACTTTTCTCAGTGGAACAATAGCCGCCTTTCTATCAGTCAAATGGGAATCTACTGAGTATGTTTACTCAACACAAAGCGCGGGAGTTGACCAAGGATTTGAAGTGTTACCGTGGGTGTAATCTGATATTAAGAAAGGCTTCACCGATTCTTGACTGGCCTCTTCAAACAGCCTTTTTGGAGCTGAAATGTAATCGTACACAAAATCATTAGAAGCAGAGTCTCTCTCGCCTAGATTTTCTAGTGTTATCTTACAGGTGGTGCTTTTCTTACCGCAGGCATACGCTACTTTGAGTTGCTTGCGGACTCCAGGAAAGCAGGGGTTGCCGAAGCTCAGCACATTGGCAATGACCGTGCAGTTGGGTTTCCCATGGCATCTCATTGACAATTGTCTTAGGGCAGTAGACGATAAACATTCTGCAACAAACAAAGTTATTATTAATAATAATAATAATGACGATCCTTGCATTTGATAAAACACCTTTGACACCCCTTTCGCCTTTCAGGAGGGCATCTCAAAGGATTCACGGGATTTTACTATAAAGTGTAGTGACTGTGTACTTGGTAAGCAAATGCAGCAGGCAATTTGTGCACAGCAAATTTATTCAAACATTGGATCTTCTGAGTATTAGAACTGGAATTGCCCCTTGAAGGAGCCTTGACCTTAAATATCAGCCAAATTATATGACTACTAGAGAGGGATCAGCCAAATCAGCTGCATCTGTTTGTCCTGAAGGAATAGGAACGAGTCAGACTGAGTCCGATTATTTCGTTGCTTTTGAATTTTTTTTTAATGTGTTGTTGCAGGAAAACGACTGCAATGACAAGGAGATGATGTGAAGTTAGGAAGAGCGATTCCCGCTGATAGCAGGATGTGGGACGTGTAGACGGTGAGAAATCGGCTTCGATGCGATCTGCCTTCGGGAAGGTCGGAGCGGAGTTCCCCCAGGCCAGTGAAGTGCATGTTGGATCACCAGCCGATGTCGCTCTTTACCATAATATTTTCACTCCCGAAAGAAGTGACTTGTTGCATTTTTGAGAGACACTGTAATGGGGGCATCACACAGAATGCTGTATTAACTCTAAATTCTGCAAATAAACTATTTGTATGGCTAGACATTGAGTCGAGGGAATGGGAACACGTATAAATAGTGAGTGAGATTGAGTGGAATTATTGAGACTTGCAACGCGCTTTTAATTACGCGGCTTTTCCCTAGTGTTTTCCTGGATGCTTGGCCTGTACACACTGGAAAAAAAATCTGAAAGGATAACAGTAAAACGCTGGCTGGAATTCGTAATAGATTCAGGGAAAAGGGGGTTGTGAACTTGGAACAGCTGGGGAAAAAAAAATACTCGACAGCAGATCCATTTGGTTTGTGAGCTGTAAATCTGTGCTGCCCTCTGCTCCAGCACACACACTCATCCAAAAATGTTACACTGACGTTTTCACTGTTGTAACCTCTTGCCTTAAGGCCTCCCCAGTGGCCTAGATCAGTGTATAGGGTGCTCCCTGATATCAGGGAGAGTAAGAAGGGCAACAAACAGCCACGATTCCTGTACCATATCCACTGGCAAGTCCCCCCACCCTTCCCCCCTGTAGTGGAAAGTGAACAAGGGGACAGCAGATGAGAAAGGAATTGGGCTTTTCTTGGATGAGTTCAACAGGCAATTCGGCTTTTGGCATTCACTGCTGTCCAATCTCAAATATAGTGCTTTGTAGAGGCAGAGGTACCCAGGAAGAATCAATGCCTTCATGGGGGGAAGAGGAAGAGAGAGAATTAAACTAAAAAAAGAATGATGATTATCTTCATTTGTCTCTAACGAATACCACAACATTCTGAAACACTCCAGTTATTGTCTGTGAAATAACCTTTTTAGTGCTGTTCTCGATGCTTTTTTTTGCATCTAATTTTGACCTCCCTGTTGTAACTCACCAATATCCGGTGCTGAGCTGTTGATCGAGGGACAGTCCACATTCCCATTCGGGGATCGTCCGAAGCTGGCAGAATAAATGACCAGGATGGTGTGGTTCTTGCAGTGGAGACGCAGTTTTTCATTCTCACATACAGCTTTCCTTTTGTGCCCATCTGTAGTATTAACACATAGGGATTGGTGCATAAATCAGATAGTGTAGATGCATTCAAGAGGAAACTGGACCTTCACATGATGGAGAGGGGAATAGAAGGATATGGGAAGAGATAATAATAATAATAATACTCCTTGCATTTGATATAGTGCCTTATCATGTCGTTGAGATGTCTCAAAGTGCTTCACAGAATATATTGCAAAGTGGATTGACCGTGTATTTTGTGGGTAAAGCGCTGGTAAAATAATGTGCAAAATCTGATATTCAGCCACTTTGCTCCATTCCGTGCATTGCTTTCGTACTCACCGGGTTTGCATTTGTAGGAAATGATCAGATATTTGGTGGTTCCTGGGCAGGGATCGAGTCCAAACACCCGACTGTTGACAGAGAGCTGGCATGAGCGTTGTTCCTGGCATTCGTCAAACACTTTCTGTAAATCAACAGATAGAGGATTATCCGGGGAGTGAAGAGGAGGAGGAAGAGGAGGAATGTGGTGGTGAGAGAATCTAACCTGTTGAATCAAACTGCCAAGAAGAATAGTGAAGGGAACACTCCTGCAAACTTATATTTCACCCCTATTTCCACCTCAATCTGGGCTCATCTCCCAATGATTCCATTAGTCAAATGCTGATTTTGATCACCTTTAAACACAGTGGTTGTCTATGGAAGATTCATGTCTAATAACAATTATCGTTGCATTTGATATGATGTTTTTTATGTCAAGGAGTCCTGTAGCTTACTGGTTAGAGTGCTCGCCTCACAAGCCAGAAGACCTGGGTTCAATTCCCGGGCAGGGTGAAACGTTGGGCAAGTTTCCTTACTCCACACGCCTCTGTTTACCTAGCAGTAAGTAGGAACCCAGTTGTTAGTCGATTGGCGGTTCGCTTTTCCGGGGGTAATAATCCTTTAAAAAATAATAATAATAATAATAATTTGGTCACTCAATCCATGGCTGTTTGTGGGATACTGCTGTGCGCAATTGGCTGCTGCATTTCATCCACAAAATTCAGTCAATTCACTTTACAATATATTCAGTGAAGCGCTTTGAGTCATCTCAAAGACAGGATAAGGCGCTATATCAAATGCAAGCATTATTATTATTATAAAATGTCTCAAAGTGTTTCACAAGACTGTAAAGTTCAGTGACTGCATTTTATAGACGCCTATCAGTTTTGCACAACGCAATGTTCCACAAACAGTCATGGCCAGACCCACACTGTTGTGTCAGCCTCCTGCTCACTTGTGGGCTAATCCATCTCGTATCTGATATGTGGCCCAGTATTGTCAGTGCTGTTACTCATTCAGGAAGGCATGGAACCCATGACACAATGTTTCATTCCCTTTGACTGCCCGGAATAATAGAATCATAGAGCCTTTTTTTGTCTAGGGGATTTTCGGCCAGGACTCTGGGAGAAACTCCCTTCTCTTATCGAGCAGTGCTGTGGGACGTTTAATTTCCACTTGAACAGGCAGACTGAACCTCGGTTTAATGTTTCATCCAAACTACATGATCTCCAACAAAGCAGCCTTCCTCCAGTACTGTATTGGAATGTCATCCTAGACGGTGAGTTCAAACTTCTGACACAGAGCTTTATATGCTCCGAGACGCTACCTGTACGAAGGGTGCGGTATAAACACAAGTTGTTGCTGTTGAACCTACAACCTTCTGACGATCAGCTACTCAGACCTCCTCCTGGGGCAGTTTACTCCCAGAGTCCATCGAGTTGAATTACTGACGAGCTATTGAACGATTAAGCCACATTTGCAGCCTTAAATCAGGTTCCTCACCGGTACAGTAGTGCGAGCCATGCAGTTGGTGCTTTCGCTGGTCGTGTTTCCTGCAGTGGGACACAGACGTTGGCTGGCGATCCGACGCCCGTAGAAGGCAGACAGAACACTGATGGTGCTCTGAGGTGGGCAGTTTATTGGCAACTGCTCCCCGTCACATGCCTGCACCGTGTGGTTCTGCAAAACCTTCAGCAGGTAATCTGGAGAATGAAAGCAAATTACTGAAGAATCACGGGAACAATTTGCCCCCCCCCTCTCCACCTGGGTCTGACACCCAGCCACCCAGCTAATGCCCCATTTACCCTCATTCTATCCATTCCACTCTGTGTTTCAGCATTCACAGGTTCACTTATATGCATCAAAAACTTAAACACCCCGACGGGACCCCTAGTGACGGAAAGAGAGGATTTTACTTCTGAAATAGCAGTTTAAGAACTGAATTAGAATACTGACTATTTATATTGATCTTACTTAACTACCAGGCAGAAGAGTTGTAACAATCTCGCTTAAAATGAAACCCACACGTTTAAACACACTTGAATTATGGTTCTGATATTCTGCATTCTTTGGCCTGTACATTTTCCCCTAAGGAGCACAAAAGGGATAAACATGTGGGGTCAACAGGATGCATAATAATCCTCCTTAGTTAAGTGCCCACAATGACATTGTTTCTCTGAAAACCCTGGAGAAATCTCTTATCTAACTCCGCACAGTGTTTCTCATTCCTCAGCTGCTGCAGCTGGCGATGGTTGTTGCCAGACACACGCTGCTGTGCCAGTCTCCTGCACACAATGAGCACTTATAATAATAATAATCCTTGCATTTGATATAGAGCCTTATCACGTCTTCGAGACGCCTCAAAGCGCTTCACAGGATTTATTGTGAAGTAAATTTTGTGGATGAAACGCGGCAGCCAATTGCGCACAGCAGTATCCCTCAAACAGTCGTGGATTGAGTGATCAAATTAATATTTTTTTAAGCATTATTACCCCAGTTAGCTATCCGCCAATCAACTACGAACCAGGTTCCTACTTACTGCTAGGTAAACAGAGCACATGGAGTAAGGAAACTTGCCTAGGGTTTCGCTCTACCCAGGAATCAAACCTGGGCCCTCTCGCTTGCAAGGCGGGCGAGCTAACCACTACACTGTGGGACTTCACTTGAGATCTGATCCATCTCGTGTCTGATATGTGGCCAGGTAATGCCAGTGCTGTTACTCACTCAGGAAGGCATGGGACCCTCAACATGATATTTCATCGCCTTGACTTGGCCCAGAATAACAGTGATTCAACGTCTTTTTTAATTATTAAGAACGCAATCAGCAAACACAATGGAGGTTTTTTTTAGATTCAAAAAATGTCTCCAAGAACAGAGTCATTTATATTTCCGAGGCATTGTGCGCAAAGTCACCGTGGATGAGGAAGAATTCTTTGGCCACAGGTTTGCTCGGGTGCGGTCACTTTCCACTTCCAGAGTTCTTGTTTAACGTGTTGTGAAAAAGCTTCTTAGCGCATTTTTATTTAACTTGCAGTGTAAAACACATGCGGAAAACTGGTCCACAGGATTCGCTTTTCCGTGTTTTTTTGCTTGTTCGCCCACAAATACACAGTGAATTCACTTTACAGTATATTCTGTGAAATGCTTTGAGACTTGTAGAAGACGTGAAAAGTGCTATACCAACTGCAAGGATTATTATTATTATTATTCGTTCAATGTTGAGTCCTACAGCTCAGTGGTTAGAGCACTCGCTTCGCAAGCAAGAAGACCTGGGTTTGATTCCCGAGCAGGGCGAAATGTTGGGCAAGTTTCTTTACTCCAGACGCCTCTGTTTACCCAGCAATAAGTAGGAACCCGGTTGTTAGTTGTTCAATTGGCGGATCGCTTTAACAGGGGTTATAAACATTTTTTAAAAAAAAATTGGTCAATCAATTCACTACTGTTTGTGGAACACTGCTTTGAGCAATTGGCTACCGCGTTTCAAAGATTATTATTATAATGCAAAGATCTTACAAAGGTGCTTGACTACCAATGTAGTGCATTCTTTGAAGGGAACCTTGCAAAAATAAATCCATACGAGGAGCCCAAGTGTAAGCAGGCACTTACCTGAAAAATTAGGAGCAGCTCCAATCTGAGACCATAGGTACAGCCAGACAATAGTAACAGGTGAGAGTCCCAGGTGGCCCCAGGACACCTTTGGTGAATTCATACTCTGTGTTCGAGATGTCTGAAACCTGGTAGATTTTCATTCTAACGGGCAGAGTAACCACTTCAGTTTACCCTGTCACATGTCGTATCAGGCTCCCAGAGAAGACGATGCTTTCAATGGTCTTGTGATGAATCGACTGCTTTCTATAGCTGGGGACAGAGTGTGGGCTGGCGCTAAGGGCTTAGACACAGTCGTTTTTTTGTGAAGTATTAGATAATGGCAGCTGTTGGTGAATGCCAGCCCAGTGTCATAGCTCCCAAGGTAAACCACGAGGAATTTCAATACTTTCACCGCTATCAAAGCCTCCAAAGTCTCAAATGGCAATAATTTTGGCGAGTACTAATTGAGTTGTTAATGCAATTAATAGAATATTCTGAGCACCTAGCTTTCTCTAATTGATTAATTCAGTGCCACTGTTGAACAGCGAATTGATTTCCTCTCCCTCCCCTATACTCACTTCAACTTGCCACCTTTTCTGTTCCATCTGCAAAACAATGAATTATTTTGGGAAGACACAGTTTGGAGATCTGTTGCAACAATGCGAAGACCTGCAGGATGATAATAATAATCCTTATATTCGGTGTAGCACCTTTCACCTTGAGAGGATGCCCCAAAGCTCTTCACAGAATAGACTATGAAGTGTAATGATTATGTGTTTTGTGAGTAAAGATTATAAAACTAGTTTGACTCTGTTTCATGTGAAATCCCTTCAGTTGAACCCGCCCCAATGCTTTCTTCTGGCATTTATTTTTATTCAACCATTTCTCTTGTAATTGCTGTCGTTGATTTCTTACACAATGCAGTGGATCATCAAGTGCAAATATCTCAAAATGCACCGTAGGTAATTGCTACTAAAGTGTAGTGACTAGTTTGTAGGCAAAGGTGGAAGCTATTAGCAATATGCAGGACCCTGGGAGAAATTCCCTTTTTTCAAATATTGCCAAGGGATATTTAATAGCCACAATGTTAGAACGTAGACCGAAAGGCTTTAGGTACAAGAGTTGGTTCTTTAGGCCAAACTTTACCAGATGATGATGGATTTGTTGGCTAGTAATGGCTAGTAGCCAGCTCTGGTGGTGATATCTCCTGGGAAGTTTATAAGACAGATAATTTTCCTGTGAGTATGTTGGCCTATGCTCGACACTTCTAACCAAGCTGAATATTTCTGATAAAATAACCCTGTTTTATCGCATTGTATATATTTTGTGCACCACCGCTATGTTTTTCTGTAAATATTCCTATGATAGTGCTGAGTCACAGCTGTTGCTTTCTGCCTTGTTAAATTCAACATATCCCATCCTCTGATTACAACCGAGGGAAGCAGAGTGAGACAGGCAGGATGTTACACCCTAGCTATAGAGAAAGTAAACTGTGCTTGCCTTCAGAACCTTGTTGCTGTTGAGTTCATTTCAAGTGCTTGTTCTTCACACAAGGCTCACAAAGCACTCACCTCATCCAAGGCGCTGTCGTACTTGTTCAGTGTTTCTTCTAGAACTCCTTGTTAGAAGTGTCCTGACACTCAGACCACGCAGTTCTACAAGTCTCTGATCCAGCGATGGCCAGCCGGGTCCGTGACAAGAAAGACCCAGACATTGAGCTTTTCATTAAGGTAAACAAAAAATGGACTGATTGTTTCTTTCGAGTTGTCGCACATCACCTATACTCTTTTCCATTAGCACTGTGTGAAAGGTACCAGCCAAAACTATTTACTTGCTGGGAGCATTGGAGCCAAGCCCACGTAATGAGGATTTTGTTAAGAGTTTTGTTTAATCCATACATTTTTATCTTTTAAGTGTGGGCATACTTTTTTCATAACATAAACAGTAGCATGTTGTTAAGGGCATTTTGCTGGAACGCTGAACTGAAGTGTTTCCATTCTTAGGGCCATGGTATAAAACAAACACTGAAGAACTAGTAGCATGCCTTGAGGGCTTAACAAGTGATAGGATTTTAGCTTTGAGGCTCTAGGTGAATAAAATACTGAAAGCTCAAGTCTGGGTATTGCCTCTCTCAATGTGAGAAAGGTCTTTGCTGTAAGACAAGAACAGCTGTCAGCTGCTAAAATGAAGTTGCCTGTGGAAAATATAATCCTCATTATTATGGCACAAACTGGGTGAGTGGAAATACTCCCAATGTTTTAACGCTGTTGTTAACGGAACATAGAGGCTCGTTGATGGATATTGTTCAGACTGAAACTTGGTTGTGAGCCATGGCTATGTTCTGAATCGACTCCTGCAAGACATACGTCTTCAACCAGTCCAAAAAAGAGGCAGAAAGTCCCACTCATTTGCAGTAATATTTTCCATAAACACGTCTTGTTTTTGACCTCGCTCTCGAGGGTCGTTAGCCATATCCTGTTCTGTATAATCTAACTTCTTGCCAACATCCTCTACTGGAACCTATTTGTCTTTGACTCAACTTGATTAGCCATTGAATAAGTGGCTGGCTTTTAAAAACACGGCAGCTAAAGATACGGATTAGATTGAGCATGATTTCTGTAGCTTTATACGTTGATCGGGGGCCAGCTGTCATTTTTCAATGCTACTCACAGAAAAGGTGTGACATGAGATATAAATTATTATACTGCGAAGTTCCAGTGATTGTCAAGCAGGTCATGAGAGCCATCTACTCTGAGCCCTAGGGTGCATTATTGCATTGTAACTTGGGTGTTTGATAGATGTAGATTGCATGTGTTCAGTCATTTAATTAAACTCTGATTCTGTGGGTGGTGTTTGGCTACGGTGTGGATCGGAGATAGAGAATTCTTAATGAAGATCATTATCTCCTCAACCAATTTCTCAGACAACGTTCACATCCTTAATTGTCGTACCTTCTCGCTGGGTTTGACACCGCCTACCCCTTTCCCATACTCCCACTCTTCCCAAGTCTCTTCCTTTCCCAAACTCCACAGTAATCTCCCCCCTCCCAAGACCACCACCCCCCTTCCCCCTCCCCAATCCCTGTTCACATTGCCCCCCCACAACGTATCTAGTAATATACCAATGTCACTCATTGAAATGCCTGGTTTACACTACTGACTTTGAACTGCAGTGGCTTCCTATTGGCAGTGCAAACAACACTTGAGAGAATTCTGATTCAAGAAGACATCATGGACAAAAAATAATGCAAGTTGACAGCCCATGGTTGGAATAGCGATGCTTAAATTTACCCGTTCAATTTTATTACGCAGAAATTCTGTACAACTATTATAATTCCATTAATTATAATAGGTCATAAACTGAGCTGGTAAATTGGTGCCAATAAAATGAGAGGTTTCCCTGACTTAAATCAACAAATAGTAATGATAATCCTTGCATTTGATATAGCGCCTTTCACATTGGGAGGTCATTTCGAAAATTTTCATGGGATTTACTGTCAAGTGTTGTGACTGTATTTTGCAGGCAAAAGTGACAACCTATTTGTGTTCAGCAGTGTCTGAACAGTCTATTGTGTGGAACCTGATGATAAAAGCTTGAGGAGCACATGGTTTTTGGATGACAAATTGGGTAATGTATCTGTGTTTGTCGGCATAGCAGCACTGCCCTCCCACAGGGTAGGAGGTTCATTGTAGAGTTTATCAGTCACTGCAGGAAGACAGAACCTGACGACTGATGTTGTGATGAACGGCTTATCTCACAAGCAGACCTTCGGTAGATGAAGTTCCAAGTACTTAGAGACAAAGTGTCACTTAAAGAGCTTAGATAACATTCAGCGACAAATTAAAGGTCATTATATTAAATGTTCACCAACAGTTAGTTAATATGCATACAGGTTCAAAATATGGAAAATTCCATCTGGCGCACGTAAGGATTAATACAACAACAACAACAACAAGATTCCATTTATTGAGCGCCTTTCACGTCGGGAGGACGTCCCAAGGCGCTGTACAGTTGGGTCAGGACCCGAGCAGGGGGGAAATGGTCAGGGTGAGAGGAGGGAAGGGAGGGAGCGAGGAGGGGGTAGAGAGTCGAGAGGGGAGCTGAAGGCACGGTCAAAGAGAAAGGTCTTGAGACCGGCCTTGAAGGAGGAAAGGGAGGAGGCAAGGCGAAGGCACTGGGGGATAGAGTTCCAGAGCCTCGGGGCTGAGAGGCTGAAGGCCCGGCCACCGATAGTAGGGCGGTTGGGGCGGGGGATGTGGAGCAGACCGGAGCCAGAGGAACGGAGGGTACGGGCAGGTAGGTAGGGGGATAGTAGGTCGGAGAGGTAGGAGGGAGCAAGGCCGTGAATGGCCTTGTAGGTGAGGGTGAGGATCTTGAATTCGATCCTCTGGGGGATGGGGAGCCAGTGGAGGCGAGCGAGGGTGGGAGTGATGTGGTCGCGAAGCCTGGTGCGGGACAGTACACGAGCTGCAGAGTTCTGAATGACCTGCAGTGTGGAGGGAGGTGGCGGGAAGGCCGGCGAGGAGAGAGTTCTCATAGTCCAGCCTTGAGGTGATGAAGGCGTGGACCAGAGTTTCAGCAGCGTGAGGGGTGAGGTAGTGCTGTAGTCTGGCGTTGTTCCGAAGGTGATGGAAGGCGGTGCCATTTGTGGCGCGGATATGGGGGAGAAAGGACAGCTCAGGGTCGAACAAAACCCCGAGGTTCCTGATTGGCTTTGAGAGGTGGAGAGTGCAGCCTTGGATGCTGATGGTGTCAGCGCCTGAGGTGGGGAGGAGCTGACGTGAGCCAATCAGGAGGGCCTCAGTTTTGCGTACGTTGAGCTGGAGAAAGTTGTCTCTCGTCCAGGACTCGATGTCGGACAGGCAGCTGTCAGGACATCGGTGGTCGTGGAGTTGAGGGTAGAGGAGGAAAGGTAGAGTTGGGTGTCATCCGCATACATGTGGAAGTTAACCCCATGTCTGCGGATGATGTCACCAAGGGGGAGCATATAGAGGGTGAAGAGGAGGGGACCGAGGACAGAGCCTTGAGGGACACCGCACGAGACAGTGCGGGGGCCGGAGGAAAAACCATTTGAGGAGACAAAGTGAAGACGGTGGGAGAGGTACGACCTAAACCACTCAAGGACAGTGCCTTGAAGGTTGAGGTGGGAGGACAAGCGGTGGAGGAGGATAGCGTGGTCGACCGTATCGAATGCTGCCGATAGGTCGAGGAGGACGAGGAGGCAGAGGGAGCCCTGGTCACAGATGGTCAGGATGTCATTGGTGACCTTGACCAGGGCAGTTTCTGTGCTATGGGCAGCACGGAAACCCGACTGAAGGGGTTCGAATAGTGAATGGTTGGAGAGGAAAGAGCGCAGCTGGGAGGCGACAACTCGTTCCAGGACCTTGGATAGGAAGGGGAGGTTGGAGATGGGCCGGTAGCTTGATAGCTGCGACGCATCAAGGGAGGGTTTTTTTAAGGTGGGAGTGATGGTGGCAGTTTTTAAGGGAATGGGAATAGAGCCAGAGGAGAGGGACAGGTTGACGATGTCTGTGATATGTGGGGCAAGGAGGTGGAGCTGGGAGATAAGGAGTGGAGTGGGGATGGGGTCAAGGGAGCAGGTGGTAGGTTTCAGGGAGAGGATGAGTTTGGTGACAGAGGATGGGGAAACGGGTACGAAGGTGTGTAGGGGAGGATGGGTAGGAGTCGGAGTGTGGGAGGGAAGGGGTGGGTGGTGGGTGGATGTTGGAGGGGAAGTGACCGCGGAGCGAATTCCCTTGATCTTGGATTCAAGGAAATCCAGCATCTCCTCGCAGTGAAGGTTGGAGGAGATAACCTGCCGGGGTGGCGGGGGGGACGGAGGAATTGGGATGTGGTAGAGAACAGTAGCCTGGGTTGTCCTTCGCCTCCAGGATTGGCCGAGGCTAGAGTGGAGCGGTAATAGTCAGGGCAGCCCTAACGGTGTAGTGGATAGAGCTGCTGTTCTGGACCAGGAGCTCACTGGCTCAACTCATGGTGTGCGCTGAGTTTACTGGTCTCGGATAGTGATCTCCTACAGGTGATAATACAAAATCCCTAGGGATTTCAACCACTACGTCCCGAAATTCTGGATCACTCTTCTTCTATCCCTCCGCCTTTCCCCTTCCTTCCCCATCTGCAGGTCGTGGCTGAAGACCACCCTCTTCGACCGTGCCTACGGTCACCTCCCCCTCCCCCTTCCCCCAGCTCGGCATCATGCTCTGCTACTGTCAAGAGCTCTGGGACACGACCCTGCGTGAGGAGCGCTATATAAATGCGAGTTGTTGTTGTTGTAAATACTTCTGTGTGAAACAGCAAAGGCTCTTCCTTCACTTCTTGGCCACACTCGTCCTGTTAAAACGTGTTTTGGGGGGCTTTTTGTGAAATTCTCCATTGGAACCATAAAGTTTATTCATTTTTTTTTCCCCTAGGCTGGACACGATGGAGAAAACATTGGGAACTGTCCATTCTGCCAACGCTTCTTCATGGTCTTATGGCTGAAAGGAGCCCGCTTCAATGTTACAACAGTGGATATGAAAAAGTAAGGAGTAAAGAAGGAGCAAAGACATGGAAGAGTTTTAGGATTCACACAATTTCAGTAGATATTAGGAACTGATCTCTTATATTAAATCTCAGCTGAGGAATTGTCTGAATAAACTAACCAACGTTGTGGGGTGTTCTCATATCCTCCTGTTGCTCATCTGACAAATCAGACTTGACTAGAGGGATCCATCCCAGTTTCCAATCAAAGTAAATTGATCGCTTCCTTTAACTGTCATCAAACAATGCTTTCATTTTATCAACACCTTAACATTTACTAGTAAGAATCTTTTAAAGCATATATTCAAAATATTGAAATGATGAGGAATCAGTTTAAATGTTGTAATTGAATGGCCAATAGGTAGATTGGGTCCCTGGAAAAGTGACCTGGCATAAATGCTGGTTTTACTTATTCCCAGTCGCTTCGTGATTGTAGATTTGTTCCCGTAATTTTTTTTNCTAGCTGTTAACTGCTTTTATCATCATCAACAAGTGAAATCTGGGCACATTATTTTGCCCACAAAATATAGAGTCAATTCACTTTACGATATATTCTGTGAAGCGCTTTGAGGCGTCTTGAAGACGTGATAATGCGCTATATCAAACGCAAAGATTATTATTATTATTATTTGGTAATAATAATCTGCTGGATCCAGTTACTTTCTCTTTGTCCACTAAAAATGACCTTGTTCCCCACAGGAGACCAGAAGAACTAAAGGATTTGGCTCCTGGGTCGAATCCTCCCTTCCTCCTGTTCAATGGAGAGCTGAAGACCGATGTAATAAAGATTGAAGAGTTTCTGGAGGAGACATTAGCTCCACCAAAGTATGTGAGGCACCCTGCAGTAGTAATGCGACTATTCTGATGTATTTGAACTTATATTATTAGTATTTGAACTCGTATATCAAGTGCTCTGGGTTGCTACCCTGTGTGAGGGTCGCTATATAATTGCAAGTTGTAGTGCGTACAGACCCATTTTTCTAGGTTCTTAAAGGATTCATAGCAATATTCATTCTCCAGCTATAAGGGCAGGACTTGTACACAGAGGTGTCTATGATTCGCTGTAGTATTCTGTTCTGTTCTACTAATCTGCTTATAGTGCTTTCGAAAGTATCTCTAATGACACATTCATGCAAAACAGAAGGTTTGTAAATCAGCTCTCTGGGTTCTCAAATTTTACAAGTGAATGGACGCAACTAATCTCAAAATCTCCTCTGTCTATTAGGTACCCACATCTGTCCCCAAGGTACTCCGACTCCTTTGGTGCTGGCAGCGACATCTTTGCCAAATTTTCAGCGTACATCAAGAACAAATGTGCCGACAGCAGAGGAAGTGAGACCTAATGCCACAATTCACTAGAACCTCTTTGTACCATGACAGCATTAGAGTTTATAGACAGGGTATTGAGTGTCTTGAATATTGAGTGTTTGCAGTGTCTGTGTTAAAGCGCTCCGAGACTCCGTCCGACATGAAGGGTACTATATAAATGCAAGTTGTTGTTGCGTGCAACACTGAGCTATTGCAGGAAATTAAGAATTTTAAGCTTACCTAGGAAGTCAGCAATTTCTTTTACTCTTGAGGAAAATTTCCCATGAATGATCCCTCATTGACAGGTTAATTGGCTTCTAGACTTCTTATTCAAAGGAAGAATTGGCATTTGGATTTATGTGCATCTCAATGCAGTGGAGCTGGTCCATAAAATCCCAACCCACCTTATAATGGAGGGAAATTGTCGCTCAGCGCTTCTGCATTCATTGTGTATGTGTGCAGAAATCCCTGATCTAAAAAAAATGGCCAACTCACAGTTCATTAGGTCGCTGCCCACAGAAATTGTCTCGATTTCGACCATTTTGACCAGTGATCAACCATTTTATTAGAGAACAATTAGCCGGCTGGCTTTGAGGCCCACTTCTTTTGGTAAGTGAATGTTTGGGATCCACACCCGAATCACGCTATAAGCAAACTCACGATATAATCGGCTTCTTCTGCATGTGATGCCTTGCAAAGCGTGTAAGAATGTTTTGAGCTTGATGATTCCTGGGACACGAATGGTCAGGTCACAGACTTTGCTTTCCTTGGCTCGCTGCAGAGTTTGAGAACGCCCTGCTGAAGGAACTCAAGCGATTGGACAATTATCTGAAAGAGCCGCTCCTGGATGAAATTGACGCCAACAGTTCCGCGATGCTGCTCGTCTCCAAGAGGAAGTTTCTGGACGGGAATGAGCTGACAATGGCGGACTGCAACCTGCTGCCAAAGCTTCACATCATCAAGGTGAGAATGATATAACATCAGCACATGACTCAGTTGGGTGAAAGGTTGGAAGAACGTGTTTCAATGAATCATAGGACTAGCTCAGCTATTCCCTAACAGTGAGCATCGTCTCTGTGTTCTCTGTGTTGACGCAGCTTTAGGTGGCTTCCTGGCTCAGTTGGTAGCACTCTCGTCTCCCAGTCAGAAGATCGTGGGTTCGAGCCCCAAGTTGGAACTTTGAGTTCACAGGCTGACACTCATTGTTAGAGGTGCCATCCTTCGAATGAAACATTAAACCAAGGTCCCATCTTCAGGTGTAAGATTTGAAAAGAGAAGAGAGTTTCTCCCTTTGTCCTGGCCAACAACCCCCCCCCAGATAAAATTTGTTGTGTACTCCATGGTTATTTGCCGGGGAATCACTATGTGTAAATTGAATGTCGGGTTTGCCTATAAAATATAGTCACTGCACTTCCCAGTGGGAAGAACCTGTGAAGCACTTTGAGAGGTCCTCACAATATTGAAAAGTGCTATATCAAATGTAAGGATTATTATTTTTATTATTATTATCAGCAGTAGAAAACAAAGAGGGTTTTTGCGCACACGCAAATGGAATGCCTTTCCATAAATGATTATTGAAGGTGAATCCATAAGATTTGAAAGAGTATTGTACAAATAATGGAGGAGAAATATTCTCAAAGATCAGGGAAATGGGATTGAGTCATTAGCTCCAATGAGGGAAGTTGTCCGAGCAAAGACACAATGGACCTCAATGGCCTTCTGCGTTGTGAAACTTATTTTCTATGGAGTAAAGGATCTTACCATCTGTTCCCCTTTTGTTGTTTGCAGGTGGCTGCGAAGAAATATCTGAATTTTGAGATTCCTAAGGAAATGTTTTTCGTCTGGCGATACCTGAACAATGCGTACAAACGGAATGAGTTCAGCCAAACCTGCCCAGCAGACGAAGAGATTGAGAGGGCATACGCTGACGCTGCCAAGAACACGCAGTGAATTGCTAACCGTATCTCTCGGTTTCTGTCTCTATCGCCACATCAGTCTATATGGGAACGGGGTGGGGGGGGTGGTGGGTTGGTGGGTGGGGGGGGGAAGAGGACTCGTAAGACATGGTTCACTGCAGGATTCACCAATAGCAACTCAGTTGTGGATTGAGTGACCAAATTATTATTATTTTTAAGACATTATTACCCCCGATCCGCCAATCGACTAACGACCAGGTTCGAACTCACTGCTAGGTAAACAGAGGCGTGTGGACGGAGTAAACTTGCCTAAATTTTCGCTTTCGCCCTGCCCGGGAATCAAACCAGGGTCTCTCGCTTTCGAAGCGCATGCTCTAACCAAAACCAATACTCTACGGGACTCCAAGAAATTGAAGTTGAAAGAGGTTGGCTTGACAGAGGTTGGATCATGAGTGTCATTAATAATGTCCACAGTTTTACTGGGAGGAAAAAAACCCAGATCAGTAGCCACACTCTTCACCTAATTGTACTGCTCTCAGTCCACAAGACGGGGGCACAGCAAGTCAGGAACATCAATGAATTTCAATGCCAATGTCACTCATTCCCCTACAAAACACAGTCACTACACTTTACAGTAAATCCTGCAAAGGGCTTTGAGATATTTCAATGACAGGATGACGAAGCACTAGGTCAAATGCAAGGCAAGTTACTCCTAGGATTTCTGTCTTTTCACTTTCACTACCTACTTAGCCTTGCTCAATGCAAAGGAAATGTATTTTTATTTGTTTTGAACAATAAAGATTGTTAATACAGAACATAATCTTGAATCAGAGTCAGTTTTTTTTTCCAAAATCTTTTTTTTGAAGGAGACTGACTGAATGGACACTTTGAAATCATTTTTTTTCTCTCTCCAGGAATCATCTGATTCTCATTGATTCTTCTCTCTCCCTCCAACCATTTTAATAATTAAGCACGAGGACCAAACAATGAATGTTCTGTGAAGCTGCAGGTTAATCGAGTGCTGCACCACCAATGCCAACGAGATGGAGATAAGCACAAGTGGTGGGAATGTAAGGTAAACCATCTTGTGATGTGATTTCAATTATTGAGAGTTCTGAAGTGTTGATAACCAGCCTGCCTAGGGCAAGAGAAATGATAGTGACCACTGATTAGAGAACATTATTATGAATATTGTGCACGACAGTGGCATTTAATAATAATAATCCTTGCATTTGATATAGCGCCTCATCACGACTTTGAGACGTCTCAAAGCGCTTGACAGAATATATTGTGAAGTGAATTGACTGTATATTTGTGGGGGAAACACGGCAGCCAATTGCGCACAGAAGTGTCCCACAAACTGAATTGAGTGGCTAAATTATGTATTATTTTATTCATTTTTTGAAGGGCTTATTACCCTTATTCTTATTACATTTGCACATTCTGTCCTTCTCAAACTGTTGTTCTAATGAAGGGTCGTGGACCCGAAACATTGACTCACTTTTCTTTCTCCATAGATGCTGCCTGACCTATTGAGTGTTCCAGCGACTTTTGTTTTTGTTTCAGATATCCAGCATCTGCAGTATTTTGCGTCTTGTCTCTCTTGTTATATATTCTCGACCCTTGCACTCAGACTTCAGCATCCGTGATCTGCTGATTGGTGCGGGGTGGAGTAACCTAAGCCACATCAGATTCATTCATTTCAGCCTGGCTCCGTCAGTGGCACTCTTGCCTGTGAGTCAGAAGGTTGTAGGTTCAACCCCCTTGTTGGGTCTTTGAACTCAGTCTAGACTGATACTCCAGTGCAGTGCTGGGGTTGCAATTCACTTCATAGCTGTTTGTGGGAAGTTGCTGTGTGCAAATTGGCTGCCACATCCATTTACAAATACACTTACAAATCCCTACAGTTTACAGTACAATCTTCTGAAGCGCTTTGAGACATCTTGACGACATGATAAGATGTTCAATCAAATGCATATACTTTATGTTAAAGTATAGTATGTCAGCAAGTGTTGGCCTTAAACAGAAATAGCAATGCTTCATTACAACAGGCTTAAGTCACACAAAGGATTCTGTAACAATGATGTTTCTGTTATAACAACCCTGGTCAACCATGCTCTTTCAGTTTGTTTTTTGAGCAAATGTTGACTCATAAGGAAAAGGAAAAGGGAAACATAAATCTTTGATCATATCATTCCCATGTCCTTTTTCAGACTGTTGCACATGAAAATACTCTTTTAGTTGTTCCCTACGTTTTTTAGCTCCGTGTTTGTCCTTTTCTAAACAGCCTCCAAGGGAACCAAGGTGAATTTGGTAAATATTGGTTTTGTGAAGAAAGGAAGAGTATCAGCAAAGATGGTTAATTAATGGTGGTTGCACAATGATTACTCAAAATCAGCATTAATCCCATCACTAGTTCATTCCTTTGAACAAAATAATAATGTCAGGTATCATTGAGAGAGTGCAGCAGTTAAACATTTTTTTTAAAAAATCATAATTGGTGCCACATTAGAAGCAATTTTGTGCCATGTACCTATGCTCACAAGGCTCTTCGTTGCAACCGGATGAAGATAAAGGCTCTTTATCTGGAACTATTCATAATAATCCTTGTGTTTTGATATAGCAGCTTATCATGTTGTCAAGATGTCTCAAAGCAGCACTTCACAGAATGTATTGCAAAAGGATGAGGCTGCGTGTATCTTGGGAGCGAACACGGCAGCCGATTTGCGCACAGCGATGTCTCACAAACAAGCCATGGGCGTGAGTGCGAGCAGAGACTATTTTTCATCCCTCTTGGTGGGCAGAATTCAAACCAATTCCAATTGTGCCATCTACTCACCCACACGTTATGGAGTGAACATGAGTTAAACAATTTCTCCAAATCCTTTACATCCACCTCGTCTGCATTCATTCAATCTCAAAGGATACTCTCGATCTGAGGATGGCAAGGTGGGCCCGAGCACTCCATTCCCGGGCTTTAAGAGCTGCCGTTTTATTTGCAAATGAAACAAATTTCAGTACAAAAGTATTGTTTATTAAGAGCATCCTGTAATTCTTGATATTTACTAACAAAACTATTTACACTTCTTTACAGTGGAGCCCATGTTAAGATAAGGAGAATATTGGTTAGGAATATTGAGTGAGATTGAGTTGAGTCACCAATAGCTGAGCTGCTGTAAGTTGACCCATCACGGAATCCATCAGTTAGTGACACAGTACTTCCAGAAACAGGCTGGAGAGAAAGAGAAGACATCATGGTTATCCATTGCATGAAAGCTGTGATTTCATCTCACTTGTTGTGATTTTGTTTTACATCAAATTTAGCCCATTTAATACCAGCCTTTGTTTCTAAATGAAATTCAAATGTCTCCAGGCGATTTTGATATGGAAGCTGACATACTTCCTTTATAACGCTACTCTCGTGGATATTTTCAAGTCATGATCTGATCAACTAAGATGTAATATTTGCTGCTCCAGGGGTCAGGAATAAAGACCACCCTTGCCGCACTACCATCCCTATCCTTGCTCGCTCATTAAAAAATAATATGATACATCAGAGGCTGAGTGCAAAATTGATATCGGGGGGCAGGGGAGAGAGTTCAGAACTAAAGTGGGTGTGGGGAAAAAGCATTTATTCCTTAACTGAGGCAGTGAGAGAGTTCCAGTCTTAAATATATTAAGGACAAGTTTTAATACAATTTAATCACATTCTGTCCGGTTGATAAACTGTTCCTTAATCAAGTAACAATGTGTTTAGGAAAGGCAAGTTTCCCCTCATGTTTCCTGACAGGATAGAGTTGGTCTTAATGTTCATATTAAGTTGTACCGTGAGGAGGAAGGGAGATTAATTATGCTGGAAACTGGTGATAGTTTAAAAAATTACAATGACCTTACATAGTTTAAAACACGATCAAAGCTTAAATAATGGTTACGCATCAGGTTAAGGAGAAAGATTTAAAGTTCCGGTCATAGGGAGGGAAACAAACACACACTCACTTCTCTTACTGGACTTCTGAGCAACCTGGTCAGATTTTTTGAATCTGCGATTCTGAAGATGTTGAGCGGCCCCAAGCTTCCACAAGAGGACGTTCATGTCATCAACCTGCAGGGAACGATGGCTGTCACAGAGCAATACACCAACTTGCATTCATATAGTGCCCTTCTCGCAGGGTACAGTCTCGGAGAGCTTAAAATAGAAAACCCCTTGCTTGATGCCCAAGCTCTGACTGTATCTACTATTGCACTTTAGGGGCTATCACAGTCGACCCTTGCCCAAAGTCTAGACGAGAGCTTTCCAACAGCAGTCAATGGATAATGATCAGAAGCAATAACAGTTAGTTATTTCTCCTCCATCCCCCTCCCCCCACCTCCTTTATAGCACAGAGCATTAACACCAATTGTAGTCCAAGTGTTGTTCCAACTAACTCAGACAGATTGGGTATAGGATCTCTTCTGTGCTTCACTCAAGAGCGAATATGGAAACACAAACAGTTTAAAGGGATTTTCCAGTGGCCCATGGATTTCCCTCATCATGGTCATTGAACCTGTTTCCCTTCTGTGACTGAGTCTCAACAGCTCTCAGAAGGTGCTGGATAGAACATCTCACAGAGGTCTTTCATCCCATGTTCTTGCTGTCTTTCCCTACAGTGAAATTACCATTATTTGCAGAGTAGTCTATCTCGCAGAACAGTGGCACCATCACACTAAAGGAGGTTGAGGCTAGATAGTTTAAGGGGAAAATCATAGTAAACAAGGAAATAAGCTACAGAATTTTCTGAGTGAACGGCATCCATTCTGTCACTTACCAGATTGCCACTGACTCGGAATCCCTCTGCATTAGCTGCAAATGATTAAAGCATCAAATCAGTACATGTTCATAATGAATAATGCTGAGACCATTTCAGCTTCTTGACTAGATATAGAATCCCAAGTGCAACGGGAAGGACAATTCTGAAATTTCTCTGTGCCCCCCCCTCCCCCTTAACTGCCTTCAAAACCCATCACTTTTACTGTGCCTTTCACCACCATCACACACCTCCCCTCAGCTCAGTCTTTGTAAAGTGCTTTGAGACGTTCTCCCTATGTGAAATGCACTGATTAAGTACACACCGTTGGTACTGTTCCTGTTTTACTCTTTGATTTGCAGATTTAAACAAGTGGTGCAACTTGACATTGGAACTGACGATATCAGGAGGTATGTGCCCTCGTCACCAGTCATAACTGCTGTGCGCAACTGGCTGCCACATTTCACCCACAAAATATACAGTCAATTCACTTTACAGTATGTTCTGTGAAGCACTTTGAGATGTCTCAAAGATGTGTTAAGGCGCTATATCAAATGCAAGGATTATTATTATAATCGGCACATATCGCATTTTTCATCCCTTCACAATAGAACTTAGAACCCCCGCCTTCCCCGTGGAGAGCCAAGAAAATACATCCATATCCACACCTAAACAGCTAAACAACCAGTAATCAAATATTTTCACCAGATCGGCAGCTAGGAAAATTTAAGAATAAAATTATGCTACAGTTGTTGTCACATCAGGGCAGGGTGAAGGGAGGTTCTGGTAACAAATTCAGGTATTCACAAGTTAAATCCAATTCAAATCTAATTCTGTTCTATCTCATCCTTTTACCATCTGATCTTCTGTCTGGCAGATGAGATGGGGAATTGAGAAGTTTGCAAAGGAAAGAAAACAATGGGTGCAGCAGACTTGCAGAGGTAGGGACACATGAACTTAATCTCTTACCTTTGCGCCGGGCTCCTTCCTCCACATCCAGCAGCACATCCTCTCCCTTTGAAAGTGAAGAATAGAAATCGGACATCCTTGGTCCCTCAACACTCGATATATCATTTGGCATGAACCCCATTGCATCCTTGACCACCCTGGGATCAAATTCTGTGAAGGATTTCATTCAAAAATACGTTGGGCAAGAGCAATGTCTACACTTTCACCACAGGGCAACCCAACCCTTCCCACCCATATTGAAAACAGCTCTCCAGTTATCTGGCTTGACTTATTTGCATGTGATTGAAGTGCTATTCTTTTACAAAGTTTAATGTATGTGTCCCTGTCTGCTTGCAATGCTGTTTTGTACGTGCATTTGAATTATAGATTTATATTTGAATGTTATTTATAAATCCAAAATTACATTATTTATAGGTACACGGGAGTAGATTGATTGAACGTAGTGAACGAAGTAGATTAACATTTGTGATTTACTCGACTAAACATACTGAGCAGAAAAACGTCTAACCTGCCCTGCCCTTCCCTACCCCTGAAATGTATCAGATGTATTGCTTCGAGAAAAGCTGTTGTAAAGAAATAGGATTAGGGGAAAATTTGTTGCACTTTATATATTTTTTAAAGTGCTGAATACGTCCTGTGGCGCACGTCAGTGTCAAACCCATCCCGGGGCTGAGATTCAGACAGGAATCAGTGAGGCCAGAGCTCAAAGGCTCCATCTCAAGCCCAAAGTGCATTGCTGTTTCAGAGGGTGTTATTGTTTGTACAACGCAGAGGAACTGTGGGATTCCTCACAGCTTTCTATCTATGTATGGCTCTCAGTGTTGTTCCTGTTGTGTGAGAGACGCTATATAATAATAATCCTTGCATTTGATATAGCACTTTTCACATCTTCTAGATGTCTCAAAGCGCTTCACAGAACATGCTGTAAAGTGAAGTGACTGTGTACTTGTGGTAAAACACGGCAGCCGATTGCATACAGCCGTGTCCCACAAACAGTCATGGATTGAGTGACCAAAGTATTATTGTTTTTTTTGAAGGATTATTATCCCCGGAAAAGCGATCCACCAATCGACTAACAACCGGGTTCCTACTTACTGCTAGGTAAACAAGGGCGTGTGGATTAAGGAAACTTGCCCAACATTTCGCCCTGCCAGGAATAGAACCCAGGTCTCTCACTTGCTTGGCGAGTGTTCTACCCACTGAGCTACAGGACTCCACTATATCAATACAAATTGTTGTTGTTGGTTTTGATGGTTGTCAGATCCTATCTCTCACAGTGGTTCCACTTTGTCTCTACAAATGGCTTCTCCTCCAGTCCCCGCACCGCCTCATGCAGTGTTCCTCAGGGCTTGGTCCTCTCCGCTTCAACCTTATATGCTCCCTCTTGGTGATATCATCCACAAACATTGGGGGTCAACTTCCACAATTATGCGGATGACACCCAACTCTATCTCTCTACCTCCACCCTCGACCCCATGACCACTGTTGTCCTGACAGACTGCCTATCAGGCATCAAGTCCTGGATGAGAGCCAACTTTCCACAGTTGAAAATCAGCAAGACCAAGGCTCTCTTCATTGGCTCACACCAGTGCCTCTGCACCTCAGGCACTGGCAGGATCAGCATCCAAGGATGCACAGTCTACCTCACCAAGCCAGTCAGGAAACTAGGCATCTTGTTCGACCCTCAACTGTCCTTTCTCCCCATCACACCCACCCTTGCTCGGCTCCACTGGCTCTCCATCCCTCAGAGGATCGAGTTAAAAATTCTCGTCCTCACCTACAAGGCCCTCCATGACTTTGCACCCTCCTACCTCTCCGACCTGCTAACCCCTTATCAACCTGTTCACTCTCTCCACTCAGCAGGCTCAGACCTGCTTCATATCCCTGCCCAGCCTTCGCCACCATCGCGGTCGTGCCTTCAGCCTCTCTGCCCCCACCCTCTGGAACTCCATCCCACATTCCCTTCGCCTCACTCTCTCACTTGCCTCCTTCAAGGCATGCCTCAAGACCCTCCTCTTCGATCGTGCCTTCAGCCACCGTCTCTGCTTCATATTTAAGTCAGTTATATTAAGTGGCAGTGGAACAGTGTGTTCAAACACATTTCTTTCACTTCTAAGCCTTGGATTCATGTTCAGATCATAGAATCAGACAAAGCTCTCATCATTGTTAGGGGGTCTTAAGTGAAAAGAGTTTTCAGTCATGACCCAATTCTCAAAGGATGTGAATTGTTAACGAAAGAACTAGACACACTGAGTACTAGTAATACATGCACAAAACACACATAGGTTCCTAACTGCAGGTGTCATTTACCACACTGTACATAATATAATGTAGGCATTTCACTTACCCCGTTGCATCAGAGAGTTTTCAGGAAAGACTAGAAGTGCTTGCACTCGACTGGTCCCCGATAGAATAGCCAGAACGCAGACAAATGTCCAGGAGTACATGTTGCCTGAGGTTCTGCTGTCTCCCGGCTCCTCCAAACACTTTTAAAGCCTGCGAGACCCATCGATCTTTTCCCCCAGTGGCAATTTTGTCACGTCACTCCTTGAGACTTGCTCATCTCTTGTATAATTGATGTTAGTGAAGTGACGAGGGTGAAAGTGGTTCTAAATCTCTGCTATCACTGCTTAAACAGGACAAATTCCCAAATGTTTACCTACTGCTGCCCATCTCGTGGTCTTTGTTATCCAATTTGTGTTGGGAAGATTTAAGTTTTATTGAACATAGTTACAAACGATCCGAATGCACAGGACAAGAGAGCAGCCCCCTCCTCTCTGAAAAATAACCTCTAACCATCTAATATGTAAATCAACTCCTGTCCTTTTAATTGCACAATATGTTTGCCTATTTAATATAAGACATGTTTACCAATCGCTTGTGTTCCAGAAGATCTGAAAATAAAACAATATAGAATTTAAATACAGCTGAGGCCACACATTATCCAGTTCACACACACACTGCCAGACAAATATTAATCAGACTGGCATGTCCATCTCTCGGCCTGACCAGCATTGTGGCTTTTGTTCTTTAGTTTTATGCTAAGCTTAACTAATTATCCATTTATCTATTTAACAAAACAACCCAGATTTTATCTCCACTTTGAATAGTCTTGAGTCAATTTAATAAACACACAGATAGAGAAATGGTAACGGCCATTCTATGCTCAGATTATTAAACGGGTAGGTTTGAAAATTGGTTTCATCTGAATTTGTACTTTACTGTACTTTGTAGGGAAGATTCAGCTTTGCTTTTCATAGCACACAATTGGGTCTTTGACACGTAACTGGCAGGATTTAATATGAGCTAAAACAACTGCAATATAGTTGTTTTTTTAAATAACTGTTGCACCAACAGAATATATAACATGGAAACTAAAATATTTTCAGCACAGGAGGTGGTTTCGCTTTTTTGTCTGTGCATCTGGTAATATTTTCCTTGGCTAATGATGGTTGGATGGTTAGATTGGGATTTCACTGAATAATGATAATCTTTTTACGTTTGATACCATGCCTTTCACATCAAGAGGTCATCTCAAAGCATTTCACTGGATTTTACTATAAAGCATAGTGACAGTGGTTCTAAATCTCTGTTATCACTGCTTAAACAGGACAAATTCCCAAATGTTTACCTGCTGCTGCCAATCTCGTGGTCTTTGTTATCCAATCTGTGTTGGGAAGATTTAAATTTTATTAAAGGAGCGCTCTGAGACGCCATCCGGCGTGGGGAGCGCGATATAAATCCAATCTTTAATGTCCAACTGAACAGGCAGACAAGACTTTGGCTTAACGTCTCATACAAGCACACATGCACCAAGTACGGATTTTGCCAAAGCTGTCACATTATAAACATTAATTGAAAGTAACAGGTGAAAACAAAGAGTTGCAGACAGACTTGAATTATTACTAACAGCAACTTCTTGCTGCTGGCTCGTCTGCCGTGACTGATATTTGTGGACAGCAGTCATCTTTCTCTCCGAATGAAAATGGTTGCTGACTTCAAACTCTCTTCGGGCCTGTGACTGTCATCCCTCATGTCATATTTTACTTAAGAAGTATATTAGCAGGTTAAGTACAGCCATAATTCATAAGTTAGGAAACTTGACCAAACTCATGTCTCTGGCAGCTGTGCCGGAGGAACAAGCGCAAAACAATAAAAGCCATTTGAAAAGGAAACACACCAAAGATTATTAAACCTGCTTTTGGCTATTTATGTCCCTTGAAATTTTACATTGCATCAAAGAACAGATACCTAGACAGGATCATCCACAAAATTGTAAAATAGTTCTGTCATTCGGGAATATTTGCCCCCAAATTGCCACCTTAAGCCTTGGAAATGTTAATGTTTCTTTATTCCCAAGAACTTTTCTCATAAGGAAACTTAACTGGATGCTTCTCAGCCCAGTTCATCCATCTCTGTTTTTAATCTTTTTTCATCACAGCCTAGAACTAGGTTAAACACAGAACAGGCTCAAGGAGGTTATTTTTTGCTGGTACAAAAAGTTATTTACGTTAAAAAAAAACTTTTCAAGTTTCAGCAAACATGCAGGTTTGGAACGTTTACCATTGAATATTCACACAAAAGGAATCATTAGAGATGCTTGATAGAAAACATTCACATTTTGAAAGCTGCAAACTTGTCTTACTTAAAGTTAGCCATTAACTGGATTCAGGTGTCACCCAGGCTTGCCCTCTGGGCAGACACGCCAGCACAGGTTTCTTTGCATTATCGGAGGTGCCGTCCTTTAGATGAGACATAATAATAATAATCCTTGCTTTAGATATAGCGCTTTTCACGTCGGGAGGACGTCCCAAAGCGCTTCACAGAACACACTGTAAAGTGAATTGACTGTATATTTGTGGGAGACATAAAACCAAGAGCCCATCTGCCGGCTCAAATGGACGTTTAAGATCCCAGGAACTATTCAAAACGACAAAAGGGTTTTTCTTGGCCAACAATCCCCCAATTAAAAATTGGTCATTCACTTCTTGACTGTTTGTAGGACATTGCTTGTGCAAATTGACTGCTGTGTTCACTTACAAATACACAGTTAGCCTGCTTGTCAAAAAAACCCCAGTAAAAATCCTGTGACGTGCTTTGAGAAGTTTTGAAAAAGGGATAAGGCAGATGCAAGGATTAGTACTATTATTATTATTAATTCCCAGGGAGAGAATTTAGTGTTCGATGTTCATCAATCTTTGCCATAAATAAGTGTTCAGGAAAAAAATTCTCATTGCTTGAAATTTAAAGCTGCTCTGCGTTAATGGGGTTTTACGTCAGTGCTCTGATGAAAGTTATTTATAGAAGCTAGAGATGCCTTAGGCATAGTAAAGAAATACAGAAAACCTTGTTATTTGATATCTGCAGAAATTTATCATTAGCCGTTGGTGTCAAGTATAGAAATTAATCATTGTCTTTCCGTAAGTTACCTCATAACTGACTGAAAGTGATTAGATCAAGCCAGCATCTATTGCCCTTGACACATCTGTGATGGATTGTGTGTTCCTGACATAAATCTGTACCAGTGCGCAACACTAAAAGCCTTACTTTAATATAACAGTTAATGGGATATGTCTGGGCTGAAAGCTATCGGCAAGATTAAAAGTCGTGCTTGTTTGAACTTGTGTGTGACTGTAAGCACAAAGAGAGTAGGATGTCAGATATGCTGGTCTCTTATGGGGAACAAACACTCGCTTAACTCATGATTATGATGTAACATTAAACTGAGGTCCATTCTGCCTGTTCAATGGATGTTAAAGATCTAAAGCCGCTGTTCGAAAGGAGGTATTTTAGCCATTGCTGTGTGCAAATTCGCTGTCGCATTCGCCTACAAAATGCATAGTCACTACACTTTACAGGAAATCCTATGAAGCGCTTTTGAGACATCCTTCGATGTGAAATACACTATAAAGATTTTTTTTATATACTGGGAAAGTTTTACAAGTCACGTATAGGAGACGTTTAAATTTCACATTACAAGTGGCTGATCAACAACGTTTAGCATTGCTTACACTACAATAAATAAGACTTGTCACATATTTTAATCTAAACCTAAGACTAAGGTTTAAATTAAAATATAATCCAAGTAGAGCAGCGCTATTAATAAAGTTGGCTATAAATTTGATGTGTCAGCAGGTGGTATAACACTTGGCACAGTACAGTATTTACGAAAACAAAAACAGAAGTCACTGGAACACTCAGCAGGTCAGGCAGCATCTATGTGGAGTCCTGTGGCTCAGTGGTTAGAGCACTTGCTTTGCAAGCAAGACACCTGGGTTCAATTCCAGGCAGGGCGAAACCTTGGGCAAGTTTCCTTACTCCACACGCCTAATAATAATCCCTCCAAAACCCCAAACAATAATAAATTGGTCATTTTCAATCTACGACTGTTTGTGGGACATTGCTGTGCGCAATTGGCTGCCGCGTTCGCCCACAAATATACAGTCAATTCACTTTACAGTATATTCTGTGAAGCGCTTTGGGACGTCCTCCCGACGTGAAAAGCGCTATATCAAATGCAAGGATTATTATTATTATTATTATTATGGAGAAAGGAAATTAAGTCAAAATTTTGGGCCCACAATTCTTCATCAGAACCAGGTCTCTCGCTTTCGCAAGGCGAGTGCTCTAATCAGTGAGCTACAGGACTCTACATAATAATAATAATAATAATAAAGCTTGAATATCAGACCTGCCAATACAGACTGAGTACAAGTCATGGCTCAGTTAAACAAAGGTAAGTACTAGTACAGATCTGTAATCTGCCAAACACAATACTTGTACTGTAAAAGCCAGTTCAAGTCCACTGTTCACACAATCGACTTTCCCGTGTAAAATAATTCTGGCAATTAATTTCTGTTTTACTTTTCTCTTCCAGTAAATGTTTCTCTTCCAGTAAAAGTCTGGAAAATAGCAAAACAGCTGACGGAAGATGATGATCTCAGCCCCATCCTTGCAAAACACCCAATAGTTATACAGGGTGTTTATAGGGACAGAGAGAAAAGCATCAGCTAGCATTCTTACAAATAGAGTAAAATGCTCTCGTTCGTGAAATTATGGATTTTACAGTTTGCAGAACCTGATTTAGTGTTCGATGGAAAATAAGATGTTCTCACCTGGGATTAATTAGGGGTCACAGATCTGCATGAACCTCAACTGCAGATTTGATGCCCTTTTGATATTGTCGTCCAGAATATCCATCCTACCATTTATCCATCATAGCAGCAAATGTCTTTTTAAATTAATCGAGTGCCTTAGCCTCAACTACCCTTCCTGGTTACCTGTAATCTGTGAATTAGTTAGAGGTTAATTACCCTCTTATGTAAAAAAAATTCTGGTGTCTCTCTTGCCCTTCGCAGCCCTAACCTGTGTTTGTTTTTCTTTTTGTGTAGGATCAGTGGATAACATTAACCTCTATTCGATCCCAATCTGTTGCACTTTCTGCTGT